CTCAAGCAATCCTCCCACCTAGGCTTCCTAAGTTGCTAGGATTATAGGCTTTAGCCACCACACCTGGCCTTCTTGTTTGACTTTTGCTCAGTTTCTTGACTGTATAGGTTTATGTCTTTTGCCAAATTAAAGAAGTTTTTAGGCATTATTTTTTCTATTACTTTTTCAGCCTGGTCCTCTTATTCTTCTCCTGGGATTCCAGTGAGACAGATGTCATCTCATAAACCCACAGGTCCCCAAGGCTCTGTTTACTTTTGGCCAGTTTCTTTTCTTATTCTTGTTCATGGCAGGTAATTTCTTGTGTTCTAAAATTCAGTGATTCCTTCCTCTGTACTCTCCATCCTACCATGAGCCCATCCAGTAAATTTTTCATTTTCTTTATTGTATTTCCAGATATATTAAAAATTCCATTGGGTTCTTCCTTATATCTTCTATTTCTTATCTGAAAAATAGTCTCTTTGCTGAAATTCTGTATTTCTTTGTTGAGACTGTCTATATTTTCATTTGTTTCAAGCACATCTGTAGTTTCTCAGTGCAGCATTTTTATGACAGCTGCTCTAAGAGCTTTCTCAGATAATTGTAACATCTGTGTCATCTCTAGAAGTCTGTTGTTGATTTTCTTTTTTCGCTCGGCTTGAGATCTTCCTGGTTCTTAGTATGATGAATGATTGTCTATTGAAACTTGGACATTTTGAGTAACATATTATGAGTCTCTGACTCCTACTCAAACCTTCTGTTTAGCCGGCTTTTTTTTTTTTTTTTTTTTTTTTTTGTAGAGTTGGGGTCTTGCTCAGGCTGGTCTCAGGCTGGTCTCAAACTCCTGACCTCAAGCTATTCTCCAGCCTCAGCCTTCTAAGGTGCTAGGATTACAGGCATGAGCCACTGCGCCTGGCCATGTTTAGCTGGCTTCTTGTGGCACCACTTCAGCAGAGGCAGCACCCACCCATACCCACCACCCGCATTACTGTCAGTGGGGATGCAGTCCAGGCTCTGTTGACACTGGGTGGGGGCCTCGTTACTGTCTGATAGAGATGAAAGTTTCGGGTCTAGTTGGTCTTCTGTGACACCAAGCCCACTTGAGAGTGTTGTTGGGGTGCCTTGTTATAGCCTCGGCCTTTATAGGTGGGACTACGATTTTTCCATGGTGTTTGGATGGTGGTTGTAGTCTAAATGTTTTCTGTCTCGAAACACTCACCCTTGCCTGTTCCTTTGGTTGGAGAGAGCAGTCTGTGGGTATTTTGGTGGGGTTCTTTTGTCTGTGTGCATTGGCATATCTGCTTCTTCAGCCCCAGATCTGGGATGTATGAGGCACAAAGAAAACCCAGGGAACTTAACGCTATGTCGTTCCTTGGGTGCCTTGATCCCTAGCCCATCTGCCTTCTATTTTCCAGATTCTTATATTTGATTTCTATCTCGTGTACAGGTTTTAATTGTCCTGAGGGGAGTAGGAAAAGTACATCTACAACATTTTCCCATAAGCGGAAATTATTACTATATGGAACTTTTATATTTTTCAATCTTGAATATTTCTTAAGTATCCTTTATGATTTCTTTTCTAACCTATAAGATATTTAAAAGTGGTTTTATATGTTTGATTATCTCTTAATTTTGTTATATAGGGTTGTTGAAATTTAGTTTGGATTTTCTATTTGTAACTTAATTGCGTTATGGTCAGAGGACATGATCTGACATCTTTTGAGGGGAGGGTATTTTTTTTTTCAGATTCACTATATGGTCTAACTGGTGGTCATTGGCTATGAAAGCCAGAAAAGCCTGTGTTTCTCTCATTGGATTCTCATTGGGATATGTACTAAATCTGGTTTATTAACTGTTCACATTCATCCATTTAAATACTGAGTGAGCACCGCTGTACCTTCGGCTCTGTCCTAGTCACTGGGGTTGCAGCAGTGAACTACAAATTCAAAACCCGCTCTCATGGACGTTGCATTTAAATCGAGAGAGAAAGACAGCAAATAAGTAAAATACTTAATATTTCACCTGATGTTATGTGCAGTGCAGGATTGCCGAGGATGGTCTCACTGCTTGGGTGACATTTGAGCAAAGCCCTGAAGGATCTGCAGAATTCGGGGGAAATGGCTTTTGCGTACAGGGCACGGCCTTCCTGGCCTCAGTTTTCCTGTGCATAAAGTGGGGATAATTTCATGTGCAGTATTGTGCTGAGGTGGAAATAACAGATCTGAGAGCTTCACGTGGGCTGGTCTGCTACTTGCAGTAATGTGAGCCGTTTTGTTATGAGGGGTTGGTAACAGTGATTCCCAGGTTCTGGGCTTGACCTGGAAATGGGCTATGGAATGAATAGGAAAGAGGAGTGGCTTCCAGGTTGTCAGCTTGGGGGTGATAAACTGGGGGAAGGGGGAGATAGGGACGCCACCTGACCACTGTGCATGTTCTCCTTACAGACTCATGGAGCGATTTCTCATGGATGGATTGTATCCTTCAAGATTTGAAATGCCCCTTGTTCCTGGGGTGCTCCTCGTTCCTGGGGTCTTCCCACACTCGTGTATCTCTACCCCACTGCCCACCCCTTTGCACCAGCAATCCAGGCAGGGGTGGATAAGTGAATATACAGGTTTCACTCACACTGGTTTCTCGCCAGTTGACTCACGTAACATCACACAATCAGTGCTGTACATTTTGGAGCTTACTCAAGTTTGGGTTTGTTTTATATTAGGAAGACAGTAGAATAGCTAACAGCACCTGATCTGCATCAGATTCCTGTATTCAAACTCCACCTCCTCCTCCTTAGTAGCTTCTGATCTTGGGCAAGTCACTTAGCCTCTCTAACCTCAAAGCTTGGGCCCCCTAATATTTAAAAAATCTCTGATATAAATGAACTTGGTAAAATATGAGGTTCCAGTCCCTCCTTCCTCCCATGAATTGTTACGTTGTGCAGGTTTGGTGTGAGTTCCTCCCAGCAACTGGGAGGTTTTTAAAAGGCTTCCCCAGTAGATCCACTGAGAACTGTAGGTAAGAAGAGCCCCTGGACCCTATTGCTCCCTGCCATAGGCCCAGCACCCCAAGGCTGACAGCACTCACCCCGGGATCTGAGTAGATCTTGCCCCACCTTACACCAAGTGATCCTGTGCACCCAGCACACCTGCATCATCTCAGCCTTGCTAGTTAAGCCATCTGGCACCCTGCAGCTTCAGTGGGCATCATTCCCCCAGACTTTTGTTAGGGTTTCATACACAGGCAAACTACACTTTATAAACAGTTTGTCAGTTGTCTGGCTTGTAGGAGCTTTTTTCTCCAGAATGATGATGTTGCTATCTTGGGTTAGAGTTTCCTTTCTAGCCTGCAAAAGCACCATCCATGAAGGAGCTGGAGCATCCACAGTTAACATTTTCCAACTACATGATGCTGTTTATGACATCTCCTTTGTAAAATTCTGTTTTACCTCAGACTTAGATGGCCAGGACTCAATCCCAGTTCCCCCCGCCACCCTTCCATGGAGTTTATGCAGTGATATTTCAAGCTGATCCTCTGTCCTCAGCGTTCATTTCATTTAAAATCTAAATAACTACAAAAAGAAAAGGAAGGAGAGGATTCGTTTCATCACACCAAACACCCCTGCTGCCTGCTTCTTCCTTACCTCCCCTTTTATTGATTTTTGCTCCCTAACCCAAATGCAGTCAGCCACAGCAGCTGTCCACGTATGCCCTGACCCTATATAAGCACACGGCCACGGTAGATGGCAAGACCGTTCTTGTGGGTGAGCATGATGGGGCCAGGCCATGCTGACCCTCAAGGGGGAGGAAATGGGAGAGGAGGGGAGATGGGAAAAGGTCCACGGGAGAGAGTCGGGGAAGAGATGAGATCCCAGGTGGGATCAAGGGGTGATCAGGAGAACCCCAAGAGTCAGGAGCCAGGAAGCCAGGGAGGGTGGATTGAGGTACACAGGGGCCAAATTCCAGCCCTCTGACATGGCGTCCAGGCCAGGACCAGTGTGCAGGACACGGTTTAGAAAAGCGAAAGTCAGTAGGCTGTGCCTACCAGAAGGAAGAGGAACAAAGAGAGGCCTTTGACAAGGCAGTAGCTTTCCTAGTTTCAGGGGTTCTTATTCAGCCAGTGTAAAGAAATAACAAATGTGGTCAAAACATTATCTCCACACAGGGTTTTGACCTTCTCCTTGGCCAGGCCACTCAGCCTGCCTGACTGTGTCTACCATCTGTGGTCAGCACACATGGGAAGTCAGCTTAGTTTTAACCTTCGGGGGCCTGCATCTTATGTGTGGGGATGAGGAGAACCTACCTTCTCCTTCCGAGTCTTCCTCTCTGCATTGTCCTTCTTCCTGGTCCCTGGCCCATGTCCTCCCGTGCACACTGGTGCACACACACCTCTCACAGCATACCCAGGTGTACTGTGTCTTTACACACGTGGAGCTGTGTGGTCTCCATTCCTCCCTGTGCTCCCTACACACACTCACACACCGGCGCTGTGGTTTGTGCCACATGTGTGTTGTATCTGCACAGAAATGCTCAGGGCATGTGTGTTTCTCTGCCCTCCAGCCCCCATCAGGCAGTCAGAGCTGTATTCTCGTTGCAGACTTTTGGGACACGGCAGGCCAGGAGCGGTTCCAGAGCATGCATGCCTCCTACTACCACAAGGCCCATGCCTGCATCATGGTACGAGACCAGGTGGGCGGTGGGCAAGTCTGCTCTGAGGGGTGAGGGGCCTGGCAGCCCTGAGCCCTCCCAACCATACCTAGGTGCTATGAGAAGGGAGTCAGGGCCACCCAGGGAAGCTTCAAACCGTACATGCTCTCCAGACCTTCTAAGCGAGAACAGAGCAGGTGAGCTCTCTTCTGCTGGGGATAGGTGAAGAAAAGGTAAAGAACTGCCATACCAGGGGGATCAGCAAGCTCAGGGCTTCAACATCAGGTGTCGCATCCAGGAGGCAAATGTGGCTGAGACAGGGCCACGGTCCTTCCCCGATGGAGCCCAGCCTCTCAGAGAAGCTCTCAGGGCCTCCCTCAGCCGGTGCCTGCGGCTTTTCTCTAGGGGCAGAGCTGAGGCTGAGTGGACCCAGCAGTTCCCAGGGAACTTTCCCTCCCAGCCTCTCATTTGCTTTCTGGGACACAGTCCTCAAGGTTTTACCCCAGTGACCAGCGTGTAGTAAGTGCCACAAGAGTACCTGAAACACAGCTGTGAGAAAGACAAGAAAGGAGAAGGGAATCCTTCAGAAGTTCCTACACATGCATTCCCTGGCTTGGTTTTCAGGCCACCACTTTTAGATGCTGAAAGGAGCATGCTTTTTTTTTTTTTTTTTGGTCCACTTACAAACATTTTCATGACTATCAGCCATCTATAATGCATGAAGTAATAGCCTCGTTTTCTGAATTATGAACCCTAGCAATTGTCACTAAGTAAAAACCCCAGTCACTCAAACTTCTTCGAACAGCATTCAAGGTCCTGCTTTAATATGAAAGCCAAAACTTGGTGACACAAAACAACCATTTTCTGATGAGTCAAGAATCCATAATGTCTGAGTTCTCAACTGAGTAGACCCAAGGCTGGATCCCAGGCCGGAGCCAGCTGAGGCATCACCACACACATGGGCAGCTGGCTGGGACATCAGCATTTCTGTGCCGTGTGTCTCTGTGCAGTTTGCCGTGTGGGCTGATGTGGGCTTGCTCTCAGAGTGGCAGCCAGATCCCAACACGAAGCACCCAGAGAGAACCAGGTGGCAGTTGTATTTCCTTTCATGGCCGAGCCCTGGAAGTTACCTGGCCTCACTCTGGCCGTAGTCACCAAGGGGAGAAACGGATAACACCTCTCAGTGGGGGGCCAGTCACATGATAAGAAGAGCATGTGGGGTGCATGATTTGCCAACGTGGTTGGTATATAAAGTTTGCCGTGGCACTCCACGGCGTTTAGACTCCACCCACCCTTCCAGCCTTACCTCCCACATGGTGATTGTCCGCAGCATGTATGGCCTCACCTTGGCACTGAGGGATGCACAGCTAAGCAAAGGTCCTTTCATCTGTAAGGAGAACAGCGGAGAACCACAGAAGGAGCTGATCTGTTCTGCTCACTGTTAGCTGCTCCTCTGCACATCCTTCCTGCTTTTCCCTCGGCCCCTCCCATGGTCACACCCCTTCACTTGAAACTCTGCTCATTTCTCAGGCCTTGCTCTTTGCCACCTGCTCCGCGCAGCCTCCTCTGATGTTTGTCATTAAAATTCCTCTTTCCTGTGTGTGATGTGCAAGGTGCCAGGGGTGCCGGGGTGGAAAGACACAAGTGTTGCCCCAGGAGCTCATCCGTGGGTAGGCACAAGTACAGATGCCAGTGCTGAGGACATTGAGGATTCGTCCCTCCCGACCCTTTGCAGATAGTAAAGGAAGGAGCTCATCACCTGATTCCTGCGACTGCCCCTTAAGCACAAATTTCCTTGAAAATTCCCAAAAATTTTGATATTAATAACTGTAAGGGTACTAAACAAAAGAGGATGATGGGGTAAGGCACATGGGGGCAGTGTGGTGCAGAAGTCTGACCCTCAACTGGGAAGGTTAGTCCTAGCTGCAGTTTCACTCCTGCTCTAGCATGGGTTATTTTGAACTCACCTCTCTTATCTCAGAGTAACCTCCTCCTGCCTTCGATGCATCTCCATTGGTTCCTCTCAGACCCTCTTCTGAGGACTGGGGACATCTCCCCTGCCAGCATCCCTGTACCTGCAGGTACCTGCCACCAGCCCCGTCTGCTGCCCAGGGCCTGGCAGGTGGAAAGCCCTCACCTGACCACTGGGGAGCTGATGTTCACAGAGGGAGTCAGGACTCCACCCCCACCATGAAACTTTGAGGCAGGGATGCTCGCTCTAGCCAGCTCCTTCCCCTCTCCAAAACTCAGAAAGGGTGCTCAGGAAACCAGCCCTGGACAGAAGGTGCCTACAAGTTTCATTACAAGCATGCTTTATCCGAAGTCTTCATTGGGACTTCAAGACAATGTATTTATTTGTTGAAATTAGGCCTGGGGGGTACCATGGAAGAAATTCCAGATAGATTTCCTGCTGCTTTTTGAGGTGATAGCTGGTGACCCACCACTCACTGCCATGTGGGGCAAGCCCCCAGGCCTGAGCTGGGACCATGTTGCTGGCACAAAGGGCTAAGTGATTTTGAAGTGAAGTCAGCCGTTCCAGCAGTTATGGACTGTTGTCCATAACCTTGTTTTTCTAGGGCAGTTTGGACTTGAGAATCTATTCTGGAGGGCTGCTTTTGTGACCCCTGCAGCAGCAACTCAGGAGTGTCTCAAGAGTCCTACCCTTAGAGCTGGTTTGCAGTGCTCATGCTTCTTGCTGATGTTTTAAAATAGGTAAAAACATTAAATTATAAAAAGGTAATAAAATTATAGGCTACAAATAACAAAAAATAAAAATTTCTTTTAAAAAGTTTAAAGAATGAACGGAAGATTAACAAAAGCTTAAAATTAAAAGTAAATCAATAGTAACTAAAGGAAAACTCTAGAAATATTGGTATTTATTACGTAGGAGTTTTAGAACAATTTAAGCAAAAATAAGAATAAGAAAAAAAAGTTTGACAATTTTTAACAGATTATATTGATTATTAAGTTGATTTGATTTATAGTTGTTAAAGTAGATAAATAACATTAGATGACAAGATAACAAAAAAGGAATAAGATTTTTAAAAACACTTTTGGTTCTAGAGATTCCAGGAGGGTGTTTCCCTTTGAAGGGCAGGCACAGCCTCTGTGGTGAGAGGGACTGCAATTCAGAGCATGTGTCTGAGTCCCCAAGACTGTGGCACGTGACCATGCTCACCTGCTTAGGTATGTGAGTCACCTGGAGGTAGAATGCAGACACACTGACATACCTGAGCTGTCTTACTTCCTTTGCCCTTTGCAGGTGTTCGATGTACAGAGGAAAGTCACCTATAAGAACCTGAGCACCTGGTATACAGAGCTTCGGGAATTCAGGCCAGAGATCCCGTGCATCGTAGTGGCCAATAAAATTGATGGTGGGGCCATCCTTGTACCCGTGTGTCAGCGACTCATGGGGGACCCACCATCCCACATTTCCCACTCCTCTCCTGGGAGGGCAACCATCAGTGATCAGTCCTCCTTCCCAAGATACAAGGCGCGGTTGCTCGCATTGCTCCTTTCCTTGTAAAGATGCCAACTGAGCCAGCCTGTCCTCCTAGGACACAGATCCCTATTTACTGAAGTCTCTAGGACATGTTCCTTGGTCATCCCTGCCTATCCCACTTTTTGGAATGGGGGCTTCCAGTGACTCACCCTCCCAACCCCTCTCTCTTTCCCTTGATGGACAGGCCAATTTCCTATCTTTTCTCTACAGCGGACATAAAGGTGACCCAAAAAAGCTTCAATTTTGCCAGGAAGTTCTCCCTGCCCCTGTACTTTGTCTCAGCTGCTGATGGTACCAATGTTGTGAAGGTACGGTAGACTGCGGAGGTCATCTAGTGAGGTTGGGGCACTAGGTGGTACAGTTACCGGGGAAGCTATGAAGAGAAGGGTTGGCTACAGGCATGTTGGAGAGAACAGGGACAGTGAGGGGATGTGTGTGCAGCAGGGAGGGGAGAGGATGATGGGCCAGTGCTTGATGCGGCCAAAGTCCATTGACCGTATATGGGGTCAGGGTGATGGAAAGAAGGTGAATTGAGGGGTGAGCTTGCTGATTTTAGAGGTGGAGTATCATATGGCCTCATGGTAGGGCTCATGGGTACAGCCAGGTGGAGTCCAGGGCTCCTACCCACCATCTCTGCTTTATCCCCCAGCTCTTCAATGATGCAATTCGACTAGCTGTGTCTTACAAACAGAACTCCCAGGATTTTATGGACGAGGTTTTGCAGGAGCTCGAGGTAGGTCAGGTCCATGTTTCAGATGGGACAGAAAAAATAGGACTTCTCTTCAGAAATAATGGACTATAACCCAGTGTAGTAGCTCTTGCCTGCATTTCCCACCCCTAAATGTATCAGGGATATAGTTGGGCAAATGCAGGGCCAGGCCTCACCTGAAACCTTGTTCACAGAACTTCAAACTGGAGCAGAAGGAGGAGGATGTGCCAGACCAGGAGCAGAGTGGCAGCATCGAGAGCCCATCAGAGGAGGCGGCCTCTCCCCACAGCTGATGAGCTGGGGCTAGGGCCCCTTTCTAAATACCCCTCCCTTCAGCAACCTCCATTTCTGAATGGAGACACTCTCCAGGCTGTGCCTTGTTCTACCTCCTGTAAACCTGCCCACCCCATTTGCCTGGCTCATGATACAGGAATGAGGTCAGCACAGTAAACTCTCTGGACAGGTGTAAGAGGTCCACACTAGACCTCCATGAAGCAGAATTAGGAATCAGTGTCATTAACACCTTCCCCACCCCCCACTCCCCAGGCTGGACAGTGAAGAGAATCAGGGAACATGCTTGGGTGTCTCTTTAATAAAAGGAAATTTAGGTCATTGGTTTCTTTCTTCCTAAAACTGACCTCAGGGATTATTCCTTATGCTTCTGCTGAGACAGTGGTTAGTCCTCTTCCCACCCCCACAGACTCTGGGGCCCCTACCCTTTTCCCACATGATCTCCCATCCTTTTCCCACTTTAGTTGCCCAACCGTCTTTATTTTAAAATGTTCTTGAGCAGACAGCTATTCATTCCAGATTTTTGAGACTCTACTTCAGGAGCTCTTCTAGGTGAGGGTGAGATCGCAGGAACAGGCTTGCCATTGGAGCTGAGTAAAACCAGGTAACAGGTCTAGCCTGGTAAAACACAAGCATTGGTAAACATCAGGGGTCAATACAGCTGCACCACAGGTACACCCACTTGGATTACAAGAAATTAACTTCAAGAAGAGCTTCCTTTAAAACCCCTATTTCAGCATAGGAGGCTGTCTGTTCTTTCATTGTCTCGCAGGCTAGGTGGACACCATGCCCCTGTGGGAGCCCAAGGACTGCAGGAGAGCTGCCCACCGCTTTCCACTACTCTGCAGTACTTGTGGTTGGCTCGTATGTTTTTATGATCATTTTGTGCATCATTTGCATTGTTTTCATTAATTTATTTTGTTTTTATTGATTTATTGTTTCCTTTTTTACAGTAAAGGTTGACTTAAGCAAACATTGAGTATATGTGTGTGCTCTGTAGGTCTGAAATGTACTAAGCAAAAAGACACAAAAGAATTTGCAGGTCACCTACCACATTAATGAGGGGAGACTGCCTTGATCTATCACAGGGTAGCTCAGGTTAACTCTTGATTTACTGTAATAGAGACCATTTCAGTGGAATTTGGTGTTTTAAAACGAGTAAGTATTAAATTGGGAGCTCAAGAACAAATGATGAGGTGGGATTTAGAGAAAAACCCAAAAACATTAGTTATCGTAAATGACTAATAAGTATTTCTCTAAAATACAACAGATTTGTTGAGATAGAATTCACATACCAAGGATACCTCCTCATTTGCCAGCAAATTAATAAACCTTTCTTTCCTTCTCCTCAGACCACTTGTCCTTGTTTTTCTGATGCAGCCTCGGACAAATGCCGAACTTTCAGTAACAGAATTTGGGGTCCCCAGGTGGACCCATCTGTACCCCAGTGGAATGGCACCCATAACTGCTGGAAGAGGCAGGGAGAAGCCTCCGGTAAAAGCCATGGGTCTTGGCAGGTAGGAGCAACTTCTTTTCGAGGTGAGAGAGCAAGGGATGGCCCCAGCAGTTGCCAGAACCTGTTTTAGCTCTGGGGAACTCCCATCTCTGTCTCCCTGAAGTAGATGCAACTCCCTGCAACCTGACCTGAGTTGAGGAGAAGGAAATAGATGTGGGAAACATCCAGACAGTCCCGGCTGTTTGTAGAGTAAGTTCCCTGGGGTGCACCCTAAGACCCTGATTCCACCCATTCGGGAGGTTTTCATACCTTCCTGTTGATTTGTTTTGAGGCAACTTTTAGGGGTGGAAGTCACAAGGTTGAGTGGAACTGGGGCATCTGGTTTGAATTCATAGCTCATTTGCAGTTTCCAGGGAACAGAGGGACTAGGCCACCTATTTGGGGAGGGCTTTGAACCTTCCAGTTGGGGTGGCGTTTATCCCCGTTGGATTCCCATTTGTGAACCTCCAGCCCTGTGGCAGGCCATTTGAGGCACCGTTTGAGGTGCTTATTTGGGATGGTGTTTGTCCCCTTTGGATTCCTATTTGTTTGATAGACCCAACATTTTTGTGTTGAGGATCTCCTGTGTTGTCTGCTGTTCATGAGTTTCGTTGCAACATAAGGAAACCCCGTCTCCCATTTGATTGATAGGCTGTGGCACTTTAGATTTATTGTGTTGGGAATTCCCTATATTTGTGTTTGCTAAAGATTATTCTCTGGAGTATGAGGAAAAGTGGTGGTTGATGGTTCTTGGTTTATTCTCAAGAATTTGTTGTTTGGATCCTAATTTTGATTTGGAGGTACATTTTAAGGGATCTTCTCCATTGGCTCTTCACCCCAAAATTAATCTCAGTTTTGGCCTTTTTGTGCTTTTGTGAAAGGGGAAACCAAACTGTCTTGTTTATAGAGAAATGAGAGCTTGAGTTACACCTAAGAGGGTAGGAACAGTTCAGTGGTGAAACACTGTGGGTCCCACCCATAATTAGCATGCTCCAGTCCACTGCACTAAACCCTAGACCACATAAGAATGAGAAACAACTCCTTTAAAAAAGGAAAGACAAGGAGAATGACCCCCAGTTGGTTTATGGCACCTCCCCTGGCAAGTATTTGTATAAATGGAATGGTTCAAAGGCATGCCAGGTGGTCCAGGATGGCCAATTCTTGTGCACAAGTTTTTACTGAAAGGCAAGTTATATCAAGGAAAATTCAGAGCTCAAATGGTCGACCTACCACTATAAAGTTAAAATGTTGAGTCTCAAGCTCTCTGCTTGAGATAAACTCATTGTTTATGGTATACAAAATGATCTGTGTTTGTATGATTTTTGATAAATGAGGTCCTCCTGCCCCCACCGGAACCCCCAGGGCAAGGCGCCCAGTGGGGCCGCAGCCTGGGGGCAGACCTGGCAGGAGGGAGGACTGGCGCAGGCAGCCCAGCAAGGGGGAAGGAATGCCTGCCACCGCCGCCATCTTGGCACCATCGGAGGAGCTGGAGGGCACGACCTGAAGTAACTTGTCAACCCCACGCCCAGTAAATTCTGACTCCGGGTTTGGAATGGTCTCTCCCGGCAGCAAACTCAGTTTGGGCCAGAGGGAACCTGTAGCCAGAACAGGCAATTTCCAGCAATATCTGGTAGGGGAGCTTGAATGTGCAGGAACAGCTGGAGGATCCTTTGATACAGTCAAAAGAAATGGACGAAAAAGCAGCCCCAGACTGACTTTTTGTGAAGAATAAGGACCTTGAAAGGAACATTGCCCAAAATCGTAAAGGACTCTGGGTGGTGGGAAGCTTCCAGGAAAGCAAATAGTTTTTTTTAAGTCCAGGACTCAGATGGTGAAGGAGTGGGCCCAGAGCCCCCTGCCTCCAAATATCCTCACAGAAGCTCTGGTTCGAATGGCACTGGCCACGTGGACAGAAGCGATCTGGGGGGCCCCTTCCCCCTGCCACCACGCCAGTCCCCGGCACCAGCCATGCCTGGTGCTCTGCAAGCCAGGCAAGGGTTGGGTGGGAAGGGGCTGGTGGCAGTTAGGCAGCCGTAGACAAGCAGAGGCTGAGGCTGAGAAAGTCTTCACAGCGGGCCTGGGAGGTGGATCTAGGCGAGCAGCACGAGCATCAGGGTTTGTTTCAGAAGTGGCAGAGCTCACCTCCGGGCGAAGGCAGTGCGCCACCAAGCTCCTGCTGGATGAACACCAGGGTCTGGTGAAGTACAGAGAAGATGGCCGTTGCACTTTGAAGGTCAGGCCTCAGCAAGCCTGCACATCATGCGTTCCCAGGAGAGAGGCTGAGCCGATAGAGAATCATCATGGATGCCGTAGACAGACAGCGGCAGAGATGGTCAGCAGCTCCTCCTCCCACAGCGTCGACAGATACCCCACTGTCAACAGGACCCAGGAACACACTCTACGGAGCTCTGGTCATTTCCCACAAGTGGTAATGGACCCTCCTTTGTAGCAGGGGTAGCCTGACATGAGACTTCACTCGGGGCCTCACAGAATGTGTGTTCTGCTGTTGTTGGGTGGAGCGTGCTGTGTGTGTCTGTCGGGGCCAATTGGTTTATGCTGCTATTCAAGTCTTCTGTTTCCTTGTTGATCTTCTCTCTGGTTGTTCCATCCATTACTGAAAATAGGGTATTAAAATTTCTAAATATTGTTGTAGAACAGTCTATTTCTTCTTTCAATTCTGTCAGTTTTTGCTTCATATATTTTGAGATTCTGTTGTTAGATATGTCTATGTTTGTACTTGTATCTTCTTGGTGGATTGAAACTTTTCTTCAATATATAATGTCCTTTTTTGTCTCTTGTAACCTTTTTTTGACTTAAACTCTATTTTGTCTGACAGGAATATGGCTGCCCCAACTCTATTTTGTTTACTATTCACATAGAATGTATTTTCCATACTTTTACTTTCCCCTCTTTGTGTCTTTGTATCTAAAGTCTCTTATAGATAGCATTTTGATGCATTGTTTTTTAATCTTCCAGTTTCTGCCTTCTAACAGGAGAGTTTAATCCACTTGCATTAAAGTAATTAACAATAAAAAAGATTTTCTTCTGCCATCTAGCTATTTGTTTTCTGTATGTCTTAACGTGTTTTTCGTTCCACATTTCCTTCCTTACTTCATTTTTTATGTGTTTAATTGGCTTTTCCAGTGTACCATTTTTGATTCCCTTCTTTTTTACTTTCTCATATATTTTTTAGTTGTTTTCTCAGTGTTACGTTGGGGATTACCATTAACATCTTAAACTTGTAACTAATAAGCTAATTTTTATTATAATAATTTATTTTTGATAGTATACATTCTGCTTGTATTCACTGCTGCTCTTCTCTCTTTTGTATTATTATCACAGATTATATCTTTATAGTTTAGATGCCCATTAACATAAATTTATAATTATTGTTTTATTCATTTACCTATTATGTAGGAAAAAGAGAGATGCTACAAACTATACCAGAAGTACAACAATACTGGGTTTTTTCTTTAACTGTGTAGTTACCTTTACCAGCATTCTTTATTTTTCTTATGGCTTTGTGTTACGGTCTGGTTTTCTTTCATTTCAGCCTGAAGGTCTTCCTTTAGATTTTCCTGTAGGGCAGGTATACTGGTAATGAACTCTCACTTTTGTTTATCTGGAAAAGTCTTAATCGTGCCTTCATTCTCAAAGGATTGTTTGCTGGATATAGAATTCTTGGTCGACAGGGTTTTTTTTTTTCTTTAGAACTTTAAATATGTAATGCCATTGCCTTATGGCTTTCACTGTTTCTGATAGGAAATTAGCTGCTGATCTTATTGAGGATTGCTTTGATATGAGGAGTTACTTTTCTCTTGCTGTTCTCAAAATTAATTTTTTTTCTTTGTCTCTTGACAGCTTGATAATAATGTGTCTTGATATGGGTCTCTGAGTTTATCGTGCTTGGAGTTCTTTGAGCTTCTTGTATGTTTATTTTCTTGTCTATTCTCAGATTTGGGGAGTTTTTGCTCATTATTTCTTGAGACATACTTTCTTCCCGTTATCTCTTTTCCTTCTGGGACTCCTATAATCTGTATGTTGGTATGTTGGATGGCGTCCACAGGTCCCTCAGGCTTTCTTTTTCTAATTCTCTCTTCTTTCTGTTCTTCAGACTGAATTGTTCCAATTTTCTTACCTTCACCTTTACTAATCCACTAATCCTTTCTTCTGCCTGCTCAAGTCTGCTGTTGAACCCCTTTCGTGAGTTTTTTTAATCTTGTTATCATACTTTTTAGCTTCAGAATTTCTGTTTGGTACCATTTTATAATTTCTATTTCTTTATCTAATTTTGTTCATGCAAATCATTTTCTTAATTTTCTTTGGTACTTTGTCCATGGTTTCCTTTAGCTCATTGAGCATATTTAAGACAGTTGACTTAATGTCTTTGACTAGTAATTCCAATGTCTGAGATCTCTGAGAAATGGTTTCTGTCAAATTCTTTTTTTTTTCCTTGTGAATAGACCATAATTTCACATTGCCTTGTCATTTTGTTGTTGAAAATTAGACATTTTAATATTATAGTGTGGTAACTGTGGAAATCATATGCTGTCTCTGTCCCAGGATTTTCTGGGTTTGATTGTTGAAGGATGTAGACTTTTGTTTAGGGACTTTTCCAAACTGTTTTTGCAAAGATTGTATTTCTTGTCATTATATGGTCACTGAAGTCTGTGTTCCTTTAGTTTGTATTCAGCTAGTGTTTTGATGGTGATTTCCTTGAATGCCAAGAACTAAAATTCTTTTTAAAACACCTCTTTCAGTCTTTGCAGATTGGCTTTCTGCTGGGGCTCTCTTTCGACACCTAGCAAGGGTGTTTACAGCTCTGCCTTAGCCTTCACTTCTTCCTTGCCCTGAACCTGGAGATCATCCAGAGGTAAAAGCTTAGGGTCTTCTCAAGTCTTTCCTAAACATATGCCCTGCCCCGGATATGTGCATGATGTGGGGAATCCCCAGTACACACAGGTGCTTTTGAATGCCTTACTTTGCCAAAGAAATTCTCTCCCAGATTTTCCTCCCAACCTTCAGTAGCCCATTGTATGTCTTCACCATATTAATTTGTCCTAGGGAGCTGTGGGCTTTTGGTCACTTCAAAATGTTTTTGAGCAATGCCTGATACTTTTCTACCCTGAGTGGGTTTGTAGTTAGGCAAAACAGACAAGTGCCTCATATCAGTCTTTCAGATAGTTTGTGATAGATTAGAATAGACAAACACAATAATCTGTAAATAGGTCTGCTTTGCTCACCCTACAACCAGGGACCAAGGTCCCATACTGGGAAAGTGGGCTACTGTCTTCAAGCCCACCATCAAGCTGGTGCGAGGGTGGAGCAAGAACAAGCAAAAATGCCGCAAAACTTTTCTATAATTTTAAGTAACCTTTTCCTCATTTCTGTGGGTTTTTTCCCACTGATGTAAGCCTTTGACTATTTTCTACAGTTTTTACAAAGTTTCTGCCTCTTTTACAATGTTTCTGTGGAGGGACAGGAGTCTTCTCTCTTGCCCTGAGACCGAGGCATTGCATTTTTTTACTGACTATTTAGAGGATGATGACTGTCTGGCATCTGGGTACAAAGATTATACCCAGTAGGGAGATTAAGAAACTGGATTTAGGAGACAGAGCCCAAAGTACAACAAACTCCAATTCCAGCAATGCCAGCTCTTAGCCAAGGCAAATAGAATTTTTTAAATTTAATCAAATGTTGCTATGCTAAAGAGGTATGGGCCATTCAGACCACTATGCAAGCCCTCCTATGGGGCCAAAGCATTTCAGGGGTCATAAGTGGAAAATCAGTGGGCACTGAAGTGCTCATTGCAGATAAGCGTGAGATCATCTACCAGGACCAACTGGCTCTTAAATGACAGCCTGCGTTTGTGAACATTTACAGTGTGTCAAGCCCTGCTCTGAATGTTTCTCACATCCTCCTTATTTCATGATCACACAGCTCTCTGGCACGTCTTCCCAAGGGCACGGAGCTGATGAGGAGTAGAGTGGGGAATCTGTTTGAACCCAGGCAGACCAATGAATCCTGAAGAGGAAGACTCTTGGCTACTTCATCAGTCTGTGTTCCAGCCCCAGCAGGAAAATGACTGATCCCTCAGGCTTTCTCACCGGGGTTGCTCCCATCTGCCACAGCACCTTTTCTCTGCAATCTGCCTTTGTAACCAGGGCACAGGACCACTTTGCGCTTGACTCAGACCCAAGCAGCTTGGTGAGCAGACAGGTGTGTGGACGCTTGTTGCAGCAACTGCTCAGCCAGTAGCCGGGTTTTTCTCCCTTTCTGAGACCTGTCATCTTTAATCCCGTGCAAGGTTAAACCAGACGTCAAGTTTGATTTACTCCCTGACCAGAGTGGGCAGTTGACCTGAACCCATCAAAATTTCTTTCCCAGGAATTTGCAAACAGATGTGAACAGTTCCGGTTGAGAGCTGACTACAGTACGGGGCGGTGTGGTGAGGGTCTGCCGCTTAGACTGAGCATCAAGGGGCCACTCTAGGAAAACTTCGGACTAAGGACCCCTTGCCTGGGCTCCTTGCCATTCTCGATGTCTGCTTCAGGCCTTTCCTATTGCATCTGTGTGACACCTTTGCATCCTTACCACATAAATGGCTCAAACTGGTTTCTGTTGCTTACAATGGAAGATCTGAAATAATCCCAAATCGTAAGGAAGCCATTCAGAACTCACTCAGCAGCATCCAAAACGTAGCTCCCATTGCTGTTTCTCAATAGCTTTAGTAAATAACATTTTAATTTGCTCAAATCCAGGGACTAGTAAGATTTAACCATAGGCCAGTAATGCACTTGAAGAGGCAATGTTCAACTGGCCACCGAGAAGCCACTAGCACATTGAGTTTGGTGGTGGACAGGTGTCGTGGGGCCGTCTGTCCAGTGCCAGCCCTCCGTGCAGAGTCCTCTCTGTGGGTCTGTCTCTCGATGCCACCGGGAGAACATGGACTCCTGAGGGAATGCAACGTGGACCCACACCCCTTCTTTCCTAGTCAGCTCGCCTCACAGCAGCTGCCTGCAGGGCCCACCCTCAAATGTGCATGTGCAGAGACAGCTCTCTTATTTGTAATATCTTCAGTTTCACTAAGTGTGAAATAAAGACCATACCTGGCCTATGGCCCCAGGTCACCTTATTCCAGCATTAAAAATATTTTTGAAAATGCAATTGACACTAATGCACAAACAATGCCACCTTATTGGAGCACGAAGGAGGGAAGATAGACTTGCTGGAGGAGGGTTTGAGTTGGGTTGGGGAGGACAAATAGGAAAAAGTCCAGAAAGCATCTCTTCATATATATACATATATATGTATGTGTATATATATATATGTGTGTTCATTTATTTATTTCATCTTTCTTTTTTCTCAGGAGTAAAGGGTTCACTGGGTCAGTTGAGAACGCAGTCAGATCAGGAGGCCGTGGTCAGTTCTCGGAGTTCTGTAGTCTCTGTGTCATAATAGTTCTTTGGGTCAGAATACCTCTTCCTCTTCAAGGCCTCTATGAGCTGCTGTAGGCGCTTGGCAAAAGAAAGTTCTTGGGGAGGTTTACTGGGAGATGCAGGTGGGGGTGGGGATGGGGGCCGAGGCTGAGCTGGGGGTCGGGGATGGGCTGTGGGTGGTCGGGGTGGAGGTGACTGAGGAGGTTGCTGGAAATACCAAGGAGGGCGAGCAGAGGCAGGGTGGGAGGAGAGGAGTGGGGCCGTGGGCGGTTGAGAACTGGGGCGGGGAGTGATGGCCGGCTGAATCATGTGCAGGGCGCTGGAACCAATCTTGGAAGCAATCCAGTTCAGGTAGGGCCAGGTAGCCGTGTAGATTCCAGGGCGCTTGGCACGGGCACAGCCTACCCCCCAACTTGTGATTCCAACGACCACATAGGCACTTTCCTCGCTGTCTTTGCACATGAGAGGCCCGCCGCTGTCCCCCTGTCCAGAAGGACACAGAGGTCACTGCCTGCCTGAGCCACTCCTTCCCTGCCCAGAAGGATCAGAGGGCTCTGGGAGGACACTTTCCGCAGTCACATGGTTTCCTGCTGCCGTGAACACAAGTGGTTGTGATAAAGTCTGAGGTGGTGCCAACAGCTTCAGCTGGGATGTGAGAAGGGTATGGATTGTCATGGTTTCCTTGCAGGGAGGAGGAGATGAGCAAACCCATGTGTCCATGCATGTGGCTTTACCTGCATATGTGAGCACATATGTATAAGAGGCTTTGGATGCTTTGTGTTCTGGGGAAGAGAGGTAAACATTCTCTTCAGGGACGGGTTTTGGGTGACATGTCCTGTGTGTTACGGTTGAGATAAAGTGCTGAATATGGTGGTTGGCTCCTTGTAGGGACAGCTAGTGGGTGTCATCTGCCACCTTCATTGTGACTGTAGGCGCTGAAGGGACCAGGGAAGGAGTCACTAGAGCAGGGCCCTCGGCAGGGGAGTGGAGACCATGGGATCCAAAAAGAGGTGTTTTCAGGTCCTAGACGGACCAGAAGGAAGGTTACCTGGCAGGTGTCGATCTTGCCTTCAGGATACCCTGCGCACACGTTGCTTGGCTGGATGCGTCCATTGTACCACTGGGTCGAGTTACACAAGTCGAGGTCGATGAGATCCACACGTGCTTCCTGCAGGACAGGGGATGGCCTGGGGGCTACAACCAGGCCACTCAGTGGTCAGTGATCATGGAAGACATGGAGGAGAGCCCAGCCTCCACCTCTCCCTGAACCCCGTCCTCTGTAACGCTCCAGTTCAACCACAGGTCCCAGTCGAAGCCCCAGCCCTCTCCTGACACGTCCTGAAGGGAAGAGAGCACACAACCGAGAGAGCAGAGGAGAGATGGGAGTGGAGGTGGAGACAGAGATGTGTGGGGGGGAGGAAGGAAGGTGGAGGTATGTGGACAGGTGGACAGAGGCGGGTGGATGGAGCATGGGGGCACATTTGAACGGTAGGTGAGAGGTGATGGAGGTTTGTCGTAGCATCAACAACAACTAGCGCGTGCTAAGCGCTCACTATGCATCACATAGTGCTGTGGCTCCCATGTTGGATCAGGAGGTTGGAGTGCCACCCACCCAGGTCACAGTGGGGATGTGGCAGGGCTGGGATGGGGGTCCAGAATTGCTCCTCTCTTGACTCAAGTCCGAGACACCATTTCACTCCCCACAGTCTAGCCATACATCTCTCCCTCCCTGCTTCTCATCTCCCATCAGGACTCCTCTGCTCAGCTGTGGTCAGGATCTGTGGAAGCTGGGCTGGCGAGCCCTCCCTGCGCCTCAGATCTGTGCTGAGGAGATCCAGTGCCTCCCCACAGGCAGACCTGGCCGGGCCATGGCCATTGAAATGACCCCTGAAGCGGGGTCAGAACTCCCTTTACAGCCCCAGACACTCTATCGTGACCTCTGGGTTAGGAAAGGCCCAGCCTGCTGCAGCTCACGCAGCCAGCACTGCGTCTGGCTTAGGCAGAGCCGAAAACCAGTGCAGCTGCCCCTCTTCATCAAGGGGTCCTGCAGACAGAGGGGTCCCCAACAGCAGCAGCTGCTCTGGCCTTTTCCAAAGCAGCACCCCCAGCCTAGTGAATGAGTCCGGACGTCATCTGAAGTACACATGGGGAGCAGCCTGATGCAGGGGCAGACCCAGAACACGGCTGCGTGGGCCGAGACGGCGAGACAGCTGGATGGGCATTTGGTAAGTGGCTGCTGCGTGCATGTTTGCTGGGCTTCAGTTCTGCTTTCAATCCCTTCATCCCCCACCTTTTCTTACCACCCAAGCGGCAGTGAGAGTTTTGAACATGCACTGCTCTTGGGGTGGAGTGACACTGGGACAACAATGGTAACAGTCCTGGCTTGTTAACCACTAAGATGACTTTTAAATCTATGGCACCCCATAGTCTTGAAAGCCATGGGTTCCACTGTGAAGAGCCAGGTGTCCTGAAACAGAAAGGCTTTTCTCAATCCCAACACCTTGGCTTTAACTATCAAATGCTAGGAAGCCTGCAGGAACTCAAAATTCAATGGGAAAGAAACAATACCCTAGGATAGTTCTTCCTGCCCTGAAGCAGATGAGTTCAAGGAAGAGGTAGAACAAGGAAGGTCTGAGGGAAGCACAGGACTTTGGAGCCTGGGGTTTCTTTGAAACATGGGCTTAGGCATGGGGGATGCATTTGCAAAAAAGAGAGAGAGAAAGATATCCCATTAAGTTTAGGGTAATTCCAGAACAGAAAAGGTCTTGCATGACATCCGAGGTGTAGCTGGGAGCCTAAAATCCTCCTGAACAACAGGATAGCAAAGGTGGGGGGGCAGTAGGGACTGTGAGATCAGCCTTCCAGGGACTAGCGGAGCCCCAAGAGCTGTGGACGTGGGCGGAAGACACGTGTCCTCACTCCAGAGGCCACGGCAGAGCCATGGGCATTGGCAGCTGGGGTGGAGGCTCGCACCCCAGGCCAGGAAAGGATGGTCACGTGCCACCAAGGCCCATGAAAACAAGGACGGCTGGGATGAGACTCCTTTCTCTGAAGGACAGGAAAAGTGACAAGCCTGCCAGAAACTTAGATCGACCTCTGGGAGAAGGAAATAAGAGTTAAGGGAAGAATCCTGAAGTTACTGATTTTTTTGTTACCAAAAAAAGGCTGAGTTTTAAACCCCAAATGGCTAACTTGCCTTGAATTGGGAAGCCTAAATTTTCCATTATCAAGGAAAAGGAAAGATTGAGAGTGAAGTTAATTTCAGTCACATCTTCGCAACCCTACTGTAACTCAATAAAAATTCATGCAGCCATTTACAGAAAGCTGAAAGCATAGGTCACGCACAGAAACAGAGTCCTGTGTGGTCTTTGCCCTACTGGCAAAACCCTGCTGCCACTTGAGTGGGTAACTTGTTGCTTCTGGAATAAACGGTGCCTCTAGGCTTAAAATATGTGGAGGGGGTGTCTGGGACCCAAAGCCACAACCCTGGACCAACCATAACAGTGGTTCCAGGTCACACTCTGTGAACCAGGTCTGGTGTGGAAGAGATTTGCCTACTTACCCACTACTCATCAGGCATCAAGCGGGTAGGCAGTGTTGGGTGGCCGAGAGATCTGGGAGTCAGGGAGGAGGCAGACGGCTTAGCAAGGACAGAGGTCTAGAGAGGCAGCTACACCCATCTTGAATGGAAAGGGTGTAGCTCCAAGGCTCCCGAAGTACCAGAACACCCATGACCTGCAGAAAGCCACACCCACCACCGGTTCCCCTCCCAGTCTGCAGAGAAAACGTCAAGTAACACAGACGAGCAGGATGGATTTGGGTGCCATGACCGGACAAGGGTGGGAGCGGTGCCCCGGGAGGCTGCTGCTAACAGTGACAAAGGCAGTCCCAGCAGGAGGGCTGGGCCCTGGAATCTCACATGTCAGGAAATGTTCAGCTTGGAGACTGTCTGATTTACAGATGAGGAAACCGAGGCCCAGAGAGGGGAAGGCACTCCCCATGGCCACTAAACCACATCTAGAGCTCTTCTCCAAATACTGTTTCAGGCAATGCATCCAATTTCCAGAATCCAACAGCTGGGGCTCCAGGTGCCAAACACAGGCACAGCCTTGACCCCATTCTGAAGAAAGCCGTGTTCTGCTTGTGCCTGCACGCAGCTGGTCCCCAACCATGTGACCTGGGCGAGGGACCCAGCTCTGCTCACTCTACCACCCAGGCGTGAAAGGGCACAGCACAGGCCATGAGAACTCCAGGTTGCTCTGCCAGGCATCACCATGTGACTGCTGCACCACAAAGACCATCAGGAGAGTGACAGCCAGTGTCCCCCTGGGGAGCCCCTCCCATACTCACCATTCTCCTTTATGTATCCCCAGCCAGCCACCCAGCAGATCTGGGGGCCTTTGGGGGGGCCTGCCTTAAACTGGGGCAGGCAGCCCGGCCCAATGAAGCGCCCACACGAAACAGGAGGGGTGATCTTCAGGAGAGCAATGTCGTTTCCCTCCGTCAGAGGGTTGTATTTCTCATGAATGACGATTTTCTCAACATATCTCTCCTGCACAGGCGCCTTCACTGGCCTACTGTTCCCATACGCAATTTCCTTTGCTCCAAACACCAGTCTCCAGTCGTACACTTTGCTGTGGGCACAAAGGGAAGCCAGGCCATTTTCACTGATGGGCGGCTGCACAGAACCCCCTGGTGACAGTGACCCTCAGGGCCTTGCACTGGCAAGGGTCCGTGTCAGCCCCCCCCAGAGTCTGGCTGCGCTTGGCCTGGAGCCCCAGGCAGACTCTGCGCCCAACTCCCTGGAGAATGTCCCTTTCTGAGAAGGACCATTCTGAAGACCGCCCTCCGCGCATCCCCACACGTACTTTTTGCTGTCGAAGCAGTGAGCAGCAGTGAGCACCCAGTGTGCATTCAGCAAGCTGCCTCCACACGCGTGGTACCTGTGGCTATTGTAGGTGAAGATCTGGAGGCTGACCATCCAGGGCCAGGCCCCGTGCTGTACAGTCTGCCCTCCGACAATCTGGATGCCACCTTGTGGGCTCTGCCTGAACCGTAACCCACAGGGACCACTGAGGAGAGACCAGGGCACAGTTCAAACCAAGTGTAGGTACAGCCTGTCCTTGTAACTCCACAACCGGGGAGGCAGGGCGTGGGGCTGGGGAGGTGGAGGCAGCCAGGGTTATTTGGGAAGCGCAGGCTCCAGGAAATGGTTCGGGGCATTATGATTCCTTAGGTCTTGCCGGTATAATTACAGGGAGGGAAGAGGAGCCTTAGGCTGTACAGGCCCTGAAGCGTGGCAGGTCCCCGTGTGAAGTGGGTGCTGGCTAGGAGTGGGTCAGGGATCTGGGGGCAGAGTGTGCTGGGCTAGGGTCTGCAGAGCCAATCTTAGGTGGGAGGCTCAGAAGAGCCATGTGACCAAAGGGGTCTTGGGGCTGCAGGGTTGGGTTAGACAGTGACAGGAGAGAAGGGTGCTGGGACCACAGGCATGGGGGGCACACAGAAGCAGTGGAGGCCCAGAGGTGGAAGCTCTAGGAGCTGTGTCGCAGGTGGGAGGTCCCACATACTCAGAGGGTTGTTGATGTTGTGGGGTACCCTGGGGTGAGAGAGTCTACAGGTGGGTGGAGGTGCGAGAGGCGTGACAAGATGGTATCTTGGGGCCATTGGGGTCAACCGCAGGTTGGGATGTCTCAGCTGTTGTGGGAGGACAGGGGCTGCTGAAAATCGGGACCTGGCGTCTGAGAGGCAGTGGGTCAGTCCTTGCAGCAGCAGGGGCCACGAATCTAGGTGCTGCAGAAGCCCTGGGAGCTGAGGGGTCTGTCTGGGAGGAAACTGTGAACAACGTGGGGCCCAGATTCTGGGAGCGGGGAGGGCTGTGGGTCACAAGAGCTGTGAGACCCAGGGGCGTCAAAGGCCCAAGCTCAGCCTCCTTCCCCTGAGCCCTGGACAGAGGGAGTCTGGGAGGGACCTGCCACTCAGAAGATACGCTTCCCTGCTCGAGGGGCCCCTGACACTTACTCACACGTGGTGTTATCCTTGGCAACCACGGACACTGCCACGACCAGCAGAATGGCAGTTGGCAGCATCTCGCCCATACTCCTGCCCTGCCTGGCCTGCAAGCCCAGTGACCTCACAGAGCTCCGTGGCCTCCCAGCCAATCAGCAGGTGACTTCCCACCCCACCCCACCCCCACAGTCGGGCCAGGCAGGAGCTCCTTGGTTTAACTGGTTCGTGCTGAAGTGACTCCCCGACTTCCTGCCCAAGCTCTCACACCCCAGGATGGTGGGGGCCTTCTGTGCAGCCCCATCCCCTCTGTCCCCAGCCCAGGGTCTTCATTCCCAGTGACTCTCTCGAGGTCCCACATAACCAACTTTCTGGCCTTGTGCAGCTTTGGGGTCTGCCCCTCATGCGAGCTGTAACCGCCGCAGACTCAGCCCTTCCATGACAAGATGGTACAACATGTCAGTGGTTAAAAGGAGTCAGGTTCAGCAGATTAATACATCCTTAGCTTTGGTGGGGCAAGCTCTCTTTCTCTCTTCCAAGTGTCTGCTATCAGCACACTCTTCAGAGAGCCTTTCTGTCCATGGCTGAATATTGTAAGGTCTTCTATTTGCTGCCTGAGTGTCTCTGGGTCTCCTTTCTGTGACCAGAGTGCAGCAAGGGGTTTTTTTTCCTATGCATGAATGTCAAGAGTTTTCATCACAGCTACCTGAATATCATGAAGTATCATTTTTTCCATGTGATTATCAGGAGAGCAGCTCACCTTCCAGAGTGTAGCAAATGCCCACTGCATATGCCTGAATTTTAAAACATTTCACCTCCCCACAGGAGTGTCAGGAGGTCACATCTTCACCTGCATGAGGGCAGTCTTACCTCCTCCACTGAGTGTAAGGTCTCAGCCAGGCTGCCTGAGGGTCAAGAGGTTGCATCTCACCTGTATGAGTATCACAAGATCCATCTCTTCTACTTGAGTATCAGGACATCTTATCTCTTCTTCCTGAGTGTCGAGTTTTCAGATTATCAGATGACTTATCTATCTGAGTATCTAACTGAACGTCATACTTTCTCATCTCATATAACTTTCAAGAGGTTACGTCCCCCGCAACTGGATTAGCAGTAGGTCTTATATATTTGACCTGAGGATGAGGGAGCTATCCTCTCTCCCTGGATGTGAGGACTTCTCTTTTCTTCCAAGTGTCACCTTGTTGTCACCCAAGTGCCACCTTGTTGCATCTTCTCTACCTAAGGATCAAGATGTCTTATATCTGCTACCTGAATGTCAAGAGGTTGCATCTCACCTCTATGAGTATTCTGAAGTCTCCACTGCCACACTGGAGTGCTAGGAGCGCTCGCTTCCCCCTGCCCCCACTGCCCCCGACTGCCAGAGAGTCTCCTGTCCTCTGCACGAGTATAGTCTCATCTCCCTGCCTGAATGGCATGAGCATTTATCTTCTCTGCAAGAGTACGGTGTCCAAAGTTCTCATCTCATCTTCCTGAGTGTCTGGAGGTTTTTCTCTCCCCTTCTTGGTTGTCTTGAGGTCTTACCTCCCACACCTGAGTGTCGTGGCACTTCACCTCCTCCATCTGAGTGTCAGGAGATCTTGTCTCCACCTGGCAGGCCTCATCTCTTCAGCTTTATGTCTAGAGGTTCTATCTCTTTAAGTGACCACGAGGTCTCATCCCCCTGCTGGAGTGTGAAAATATCTTCTCTCTCCTGTTTCAATGTTGCAAAGTCTCATTTCCCCTACCTGTGTGTCAGGCATTCCCGTCTCTCGCCTTATTGTCAGGACGTCTCACTTCCTCTGGAGGAATGTCCAGGGTCTCATCTCATGTACCTGATTATCAAGAACCATCACGTTCTCTGCAGGAGTGTCCCAAATCTGCTCTCCCTGCAGGTCAGAAGGTCTCTCTTATTACTGGGCCAGGACATCTCCTCTTTGTTTACCAGGGAGTGACAAGGGCTTACTTCTCCTGAGTGGCAGGATGATTTGACTCCCTTCCCTGAGTACTGAGATGTATTATTTCCCTTCCTGTTAAGCAAGAGGCTTTATTTTCCCTTAATGAATATAAGCAGATCTCAGTAATATCAACTATCTGAGTGCCATGGAATTTTTATCTCTGCTACCTGCATGTCAGGAGGTCTCCCCTCTCCTCTCCTCCACCTGAGCATAAGGATTTGTCTCCCCAAGTCAGTTTTGGGGATCTCAGGTACTTTGAGTACCAGGAGCTCTCACCTCCCACACCTGTGTCACAGGGATGCGCTTCTTCCATCTGTCAGGATTCTCCTCCTGTATTAAGTATGTGAGTTCTGCCTTTTTCAACCTTTATAGCAGGTGGTCTCACCTCCTTTATCCAAAGGTCAGCAGGTCTTATTTTGCCAGCCTGAGAATTAATAGGCTTCAGCTCAACTACTGAGTGTTAGCAAGCCTCACTTATTTTGAGTGTCAGCTTGTGCCTGATAAATAACCAACAACACTTTGAAAATATAGTTCAAGAAACAGCAACAAGAATTCAAGAAGTGATATTAAAGTGTGTTCAAGAAGTGCTTAAAGTTTTGACTGTTAATGAAAATACTATTCAGGTGTTTTAAAAGTATTTTGATGGGCATAAAATTGCAGTGGCATTTAGATTCATGAGAATTGTTTAAAAGACTGATGTAACATTTTATTTTAAATGTTAATATGTACGATTTTCTGGAAATCACAGCCTGTGCAACCACTTAAAAAATACGGTGAAAAATGTTAGATATAAACTTTTTTTTTTTTTTGAGACAGAGTCTCACTGTGTTGCCCGGGCTAGAGTGCCGTGGCGTCAGCCTAGCTCACAGCAACCTCAAACTCCTGGGCTCAAGCGATCCTCCTGCCTCAGCCTCCCGAGTAGCTGGGACTACAGGCATGCGCCACCATGCCCGGCTAATTTTTTCTGTATATTTTTAGTTGTCCGATTAATTTCTTTCTAATTTTAGTAGAGACGGGGTCTCGCTCTTGCTCAGGCTGGTCTCGAACTCCTGAGCTCAAACAATCCGCCTGCCTCGGCCTCCCAGAGAGCTAGGATTACAGGCGTGAGCCACCGCGCCCGGCCAGATATAAACTTTTAAATGAAAGATGTTACCTAGTTCTTTAAACATATTTAGAAAGTTTCAGCGACAAAGTCTGAAGATCCAATGTGTAGATTCTAGAAGATGCTATTGTTTGACTCTGCAGAGCTTATCCACTTCTGATTCTAGAAGGGGCTGTGGTCAGAGTACCTGCCCCGGCTGCAGTGGCGGTTGAGGGAAAGGCCTGTGGCCCAGCCAGTTTAATTTTGTCACTAAACCTAATGGAAGCAACAACCGTCTCAGCTAAGTGTGACTTTTTGTCTTCTTCATGCCGTTCCAAGAGCGAGAGAGGGAGGGCTGAAGGTATGGAACCCCAGTCAGGTTCTGGGGCCAGAGGGTGGGGTCCTGTTGGGGGCTCGGCCCAGGCTGAAGCAGAGCACCCAGCACAGGGAGCTGGCCGGGGTTCCCCATTCCCCTCAGGCCTCCCCTCCAGCTTGCCTCTGCGCTTCTCTCAGCTCCTGCTCACCGACACCTCTGCCCTCGCCACCCCTGCCCACTCCGAGCCCCCTCCCCTTGACCTGTGCAATCCAACTCCCACTCCAGTTTTTCTCACCCTGATCCCCAAGCCCTTCCAGCCCCATTCCTCTCCTGTTCCTGCTCCCTGACCCCAGCCCTTGTCTCCGGGACGGCCATGGGCAGAGCAGGAACCGTGTCCATCCAGCCTGGGCGTCCGGCCCCACCCCAGAGTTGTCCACAGGGCCTTGGAGGGCCTGGTGTGAAGGGCAGCCAGGGCTGCAGTCACCAGGGAAGTGTTGGTGGCCCAGGGCCCCGGAGAGGGTGACGCTGACGCATTTTAAGCGCATGAGGAGAACAGAGGGGCGATGGAGTCCCTGGCCCTGAGTGAGAAAGTCTCCACCCGAAGGCATCTGGAGCTCCAGCTCCTCAGCCCTGTTTCCCGGGCCGTTTCCCTCTCCTCTAGCAGGCTTCTCCGGTCTGAGCCTCGAAGGTCCCGACATGTCTCTGGAGGCTTCTGACCTGGAGGGACATTCGTCTTCTCCCCTGAGACCTCTTGGGAGCCAGAGTGGCAACGCCATCCCCCGGCAGGAAGGCAGGGTCCCACTGCCCGTGCTCGGAAGGAAGCCGACCTGCTCCTGTTCTCGGCGAGAAGCTGCACCACCCCAGGCTCGGAGTTCCGCTCGAGGGAGGCTCCAGGTTCCGCGCACAGCTCCGAGGAGACCCAGCCTCCTGATGCCACAGTGCTCAGGCCCAGGGCAGGGCAGGGTCCCACCTCTGTCCCCACTTTTGGACCCTCCCAGGGCCCCACTCCTTAGCTTCCTGTGTGGCCCTTCCTTTTATAATGGCCACTGCTTCTAACCTGAAAATGAGATGAGAAATTAGAAAATGTTGAATATTTGAAGTTGAGAGACTTTTTAGACAGACTGCAAGCCTCTATAGGACCCTCTGCCAAGCGGCCACCACCCCGAGCCTTGAGGAGGCCTTTGCTACCTCCTCTGGGCCACCCGGACCTTCGCTTGCTCCCTTAAACCACCTCCGGGGCACCGGCCCCCTCTGGGTGAAGATGCCCCTCTGCTGCCCTCGAGGCACCGACCACTCTTACTCCCTCCGAGACCTTCCTCCCTTGGCCCCACCCCTGGCTCCACTCTGGCTCAGAGGTAACCTGAAAATCAAGATGTAACTTTGTCATTTTGTCACATTCACACTCCACCTCCACCCAGTGTGACCAGGCTCCCCTGCTGCTCCCTTCCTGAAACCCCTCCCCTCAGGTGGCATTGCACCTGTGCAGCCTCTGGCCCTCTCTCAGCCCTGGGCCCCACGCTTCCGGTTCTCTCACGGCTTCCTCTTGGTCTCGTCTACTCAGCGAGAATGTGTCCACCCACTCGCCTCACTGTTCACCCTTCAGGATGGAGCTTACCGCCCACTTCCACTCAGTGAGGTGCCTCTGCCCCTGCTGTGGGCTGGCCACCTCTACCAGGTGCCACACAGGACATGCCTCTCTTGCCACATTATTGGCTAGTGGCCTCTGCCTGCCTACAGAACTGCCTGCGCACTCTTAAAGGACTATGGCTGCCTCTGTGGTGCCTGGCTCAGGGCAGGAGCAAAAGCTAAATCTCACGTCCTTGAGGAGCTCAGTCCAGCTGGGCAGATAACCCAAGGTGAGAAGCACCGACTTGCTGTAATTAGAGATGGTGCCAGGGCTGTGCAGTTGCAGAGCCCAACATCTAACTCGGACTCTGGGAGGGCAGGTCAGGGAAAGCTTCCGGGAAGGAAGGACCTAGAGCTCAGCCTCCAAGGGCACGTAGGCTTTATGCAGGTGAAGGATGGAGGATCCAGGCTGCAGGAGGTGGGTGTGAGTAGAGGTGGACCCATGAAGAGCCGTGGGGGGTGCAGGGGCTGCAGGCATGTGGCAAGGCCGGTGGACGGCACGTGTGTACGGGGAGCGGGGGAAGAGGCACCGCACGGCCACAGCAGGGACACTGCAGCACTGGCTGGGCTGGACCAGTGCACGGGGTCCCTCCAGCTGCTTCATTTGCAAAGACAGTCTGGGGTTAGTGAGCGGAGGGTGGAAATGGAAACAGAAAACTACTGAATCAGGGAAGAAGTGAGGCCTGGACAAGGTCAGTAGCCTTTGGCGTGGACAGCGGAGAGGCCATGAGAGGGTTCCAAGACAGGAGCAGCAGAATTCAGAAACAACTGGACACTGGAAGGAGGTTTTAAGCCTTAAGACAACTGTTCTTCCAGCTTGGGAGGTGCCACCCTGAGAGCCGGTGAACAAAGGCAACCAGAGTGGGACGCCGGGGCTGAGCTCTGGCCGAGTCTGGGAGAAGACGCCGGGGGCCTGGGCAGAGGCTCAGGTCAAACACAGGGACTTACACGTCGCCAGCACTTGTGGTCAGTGAAAGGTGGTCTTACTAATAACGTAACAGACGAAAAATAATCTGTCAAACAGAAAGTAAGAGAAACAAACTCACAGCATGTGATTGCCCCTTTGAAGAAAAGCTCAACACAACCACCCTCTTTGTTTTGTTTTAATTTAAAGACCTGTGGCCTGACTTGTTGTCTCTGCGAGCTCCTTCTCAGCCCTGAGTGGCAGCAGATGTGCGCGTTCCCCAGGCGTTCTCGCCAGCACCAGATTCCAAGGGCTCAGGCAGAGTCAGCCTCACAGAGAAAAAAATAACGAAGGGCACCTGCCACTGCTCCGCTGCCGCTTCCGTTACCAGCGTGCTGAAGCAGAGGGAAAAACGCCATTTTTACCCTTTAAAACTCCGAGCAACTTTGCTCAGCCAGCCGGCACTGCCCTCCACCTCTCCTTCTGCGTGTGGTGGCCGTTCCCCTCCTCCCTCTCTCTCTCTCTCTCTCTCTCTCCAGAAAATAAATTTTGTGCTTCTTTCTCTTCTAAACTCTGCGTGAGAATTCTTTCTCCAACCCACCCCAACAGTCAGGGTGGGAGGTTTGTGTAACCAGCCTGAGGGACAGAGGCAGGCAACCAAGACATAGTTTCATTTCTTATAAATTTATTACATAATAATATTATAATAATTATTATCAATAATAATAATATAAGAAACATAGATCTCTGTGGGGTGTATCACAACGTCAGGGTCAGGAGGCCTCAGGACTGGAGCAGGGGGTGAAATCCCCTGATGGAACTCCGTACAAAAGGAGGGGTGAAGCAGAACTGACCCTGTAAAGTTAAAAACCCAAATTGAACGGAACCGAAAACCCACAGGTGAGTGTGAGACCGAGTGTGTATGTGGCAGTCTGTTACAGTGACTGCTGCTGCGTGACCTGGACTGTTGGTGGAAGGGTCGTGGGTGTGTCTGCGCCCAGGGAGTGGGGCCGGTGGGCCGGGGCAGGGCGGTGGGCACAGACCGGCGTGCCAGGCCCCTGGGCTGTGAAAACTTCTGTTTTCTGTCTTTTTTTTTTTTTTTATTAAAAAAAGCTAGAAATATAAACAGAAACTTGTGAGTGACGTGGATGGAGCTTAGTCCAGACTCCAAACCCTAGGTTTAAAAACGTCCCAGGGCCCCCCACCCCACAGGTCATTGCTGAGTGTGAGGAGTCACAGTAAGGGGGGCTGGGCACCCTCGGGGTCTTTGACTCTCCCCAGGGCCTGCAGTGGCCTGACTCTAGGGGTCTCCCTGTGGCCCCCTCAGAAGCCCAAGGGGGGCACTGCTTCCCTCCCGAAGCAGCAGGGATTCACCTGGGACCCCGCTCAGGCTGGGGGAGGCTCTGGAGGGCAGGCAAACAGCAGGGCCCAAGTGCAGGGTGGCCTCTGACTTTCTTTGGAAGAGACGACAGGGTGCTGCCGCAGGCACACACCCGTGCACCACCCTGAGCCTCCACAGCCCCACATCAGTCCAGAGCGGCCCTGGGGCCGCTCCACCGTCAGGCACACACGGTTCCGTGTGCTCAGTCGCACCCAGAGTCGCCCACACACACAGCGCAGGAACAGGCGGCTTTGGGGTCCAAGGCAGGGAGGCTTCTCTGCTGTAGTTGCCCAAGAGCGTGGGGACCAGACCGGACCCCTCCTAGGCGAGAGACCCTGTGAGGAAGATGGCTGCAGCGGAGCGTCAGGGCCCTGCCCCGGCCCCGGGGTGACGGTCTCCCAGGCACCTGATCCTGCTGGCGCCCAGCAGGACCCCCTGCCTGCCGCCCCTCCGCCCACGAGCAGCACCTGAAAGGTCGGTGGGGCACACTACAGCTCAGCGAGGGGAGGGGGCCGAGCTGGGGCCCCAGGGCGGGCCACTAGGACCCTGGCCAACCCCAGACCAGCTGGAGCGTCCCCTGCCCCGTGTGGGGTGGCAGTGAGGGGCCAGAGATGGAAGACTGGGCAGCTGCAGCAGGACCAGTGGGGGGGTGACGGGGAGGGGAGCGGAAACTATAACGGACAGAGATATTTGTTCCTTTTCTCGTTCCAAATATAGAGTGGATTAAAATATGCAAAACAGGGGGCTCCTTGGCCCCCGTCGAGAACCCCAGTGTCTCCCCCCTCCCCCCGAGTCACCAAGGCGTGTCCTGACCTCGCATGCTGGACTAGGTTCCCCTCCAGGAGAATGGCCACCGGGAGCCGCGACGGAGGTGGTCCGCTAGAGCACCCCCGCCCCCTCCCGCCCCAACCTCCCTGGTCCACGCCCTTCCTGACTGTGTGCTGGGTGGGGCCGGGCAGCCGGGGAGGGCACTAAGCAATGTACAGGGCAAGTCTCCGAGCAACGGCAAACAGGACGATTCATGCAACATTCCTGGCCCGGGCGCCGTCGTAGGGGGCGGGCCGAGCCCGCGGCCCGGGGTGGGGATGGGGGCCCTGCCGGCAGGGCGCGGCCGGGGCGGGAGCGGGGGTGGGGCGTCAGCTGCCTTCCAGCTGCCTGAGCGCGCGCTCGATGTTCATGCGGTGGCCCACGCGCGTGACGCCCAGCTCCACGAAGTCGTCCTTGGTGAGCGCGGGTAGGTGCGCGCCTTCTATCTCGTGGTCCTCGAAGCGGTCGCGGTGCTCGCCCAGGTGGATGCTCTCCAGCCAGTCGCCAACGTCGAACTTGCTCCAGAGCTGCAGCGGCTTCTGCTGGAAGGGCCGGCGCGGGCCGGGGGCGCCGGGGCCAGGGCCGGACGCAGGCGAGGGCAGCGGTGACGGCGAGGGGGAGCGGCTGCGCGCGCTCACGCTGCGCACCACGAAGCGCACCTCCTTGGGCTCGTGCGGGATGGAGAGGCTGGACGACTTGAGGATGGTGGGGGGCGTGAGGCCGAAGGGCCGCCCCGCGCCCCCCGCGCCCGCCCCCAGCCCCTCCACCCGCTCCAGCGACGCGGGCTTCACCGGGCTCGGGGCGCGTCGCGCTAAGGGGTAGCGGCCGCTAGGCCTCACCGAGTAGGCGGCCCCGCTGCCCGGGCCCCCGGGGCTGCGCTGCGCTGAGGTGGTGCTCAGCTCACTGAGGCTGCTGAAGAGCCTGCGGAGGGAGAGGGGGTCAGCGCCAGGTGAGGGGCGCAAAACGAAGCGGGGGCGGGCGGAGGCGGGGCAGGGCAAGGGGCCAGGAGGAAGGGGGCTGGGGCTGGGGGCCTGGTGGGAGTAGCCTCTGGGTCAGAGGAAGGAGGACCCTATGGCCACCTTGGCCCTTTCGCTTGGCACCCAGGATCAAAGCCAGTGCCCTGCTCTGGGAGACACCTAGACCGGCCGGAGTATGAGGAGTTAGACTGGTGGCCTCCTCCACTGCACGGAGGCTCCAAGAGCAGTGCACCAGAGGAAAGACGGCCTCTCGTGGCAAAGGGGTGGCTGCCCCTCCCTGCCAGCACTGGACATCAGCTCTGAGCAAGGCACCATCCACAGATGCCCTGGACCTTGAGACTTCACTACTACCCCTCCACAGCTCTGCTCTCCCGAGGAGACCCAGAGAAGCCTGGGCTAGCTTCAGGGATCGCTGAGTCATGGTGAAGGCTGGCAGCAGCACGGGGCTGAACAGGCCCATGACACTGGAGACAGACATCAGGCAGCATTCAAACACCCGTATGGAGCAGCAGCACACGCAGGGCAGGTGTGAGGAAGCCTCCTGCACAGGACGGCACACGACCGTAGCAATGGCACCCATGCGTGTTGCAGACATGCAGCAGCAGTGGCAGGGGCAGCAGCACACGCACGCAGACACACGCATACCGGGACAGACAGCACTTCGCTTCCCAGCCTCACCTGACAGGACCCCAGACCTCTAGCCCCTCCTCAGCCTGGCCGTGGCGGGAGGCCTGCCTGGGATGACTGCTCCGGAGAAGACCCACTCCCATATCCCCCGTTCCAATTCCTATCCCCTGCCACGGCCAGGGGAGGCCTCAAGGGGCTGTCGGTGGCACCACAGCCCCACATAGCCACGCAGAGCAAAGACCCAGGCAGCCAGGCACAGCGTGTGGACAGTGAGAGGCGTGGGATGGGCATGCTCACTTACACAGCTGGTGCTCAGGACCACCGCGCAGCTAGACAGAGCAGCCACATGCAGATGGGCAGGAGAGAGCAGTGAGAGAGAGTGTTAGCAGGCCAGGCCCATGTGGCCCAGTTACGGCCACACAATAGGCAGCCAGGTGCAGGGACCCCCTGGCTGGACACCATGTGGAGAGAGGAACTCGGGTGCAGAGGGCCTAGATGCCACGTAAGGGAGCTGCTGGGGGAGGAGAAGTAGAGTGTCTGAAAGTGCAGACTCGGGCAGCTCTGAGTGGGCTCCTGAGTTGCCTGTATGTGCAGACCACGAACGCGACTAGGAAGTGCTCAGTAGGTGCCTGGCGCTTGGTGGTCCCCTCCCATCCTCTGATGTCCGACCAGCCTCTCTCCAGCTGCCCACCCACCCCCTTCTCCCTGCCCCTGCCCAGACTGGGTGCCCCCCCACAGCTGTGCTGTCCTGACAACACAGCATCCCCAGCGGCCACCCACAGAGGCACGGGGCCCCTCCAGCGTGGTTCCTCCCCTTACAGCAGGTTTTGGCTTCTGTCCCCACCTGTGCAAGGTCAGCCCCTCTAGAGATCTGAGCTGTCTCTCCCCCTGGGCCTCGTTTCTGTCCTCTCCTCAGCCTCTGTCCCTGCTGCCTCCTCCCAGCTGCTCAGACTGGAACAGAGCCTCCTGTGCCCCCCAAGGCCACACTGTGTCCCCCAAGAGAGGGTTTCCCAGAACACTGGGGTAGGTGCAGTGAACAGCACCACCACCAGAGGAAACTCCCTGCTCCCACCGAACCTGGCCTCCACAGAGCCACCTGTAGTTTGGGGCAAAGTGGGGGGAAGATGCCTGAGGGGAGGTTCTAGGTGGTGGTGGGTGGCGGGGGGGTCCCTGGGGGTGGGTTCCCAGGGCGCGGTGCTTGCTGGAGGGGCATGCCAGCGCAGACTCTGAGGGAATCACACCTGTGGGACTATGGACACCTAGAGAGGAGCAGGACCAGAAATATGTGCCTGGCCTTCACACAGTGACCCTGGGCTGGGGACCTGTGTCACATGACAGACACCTGTCCTGGCCCTGCCCCAGATTGAGGTTTCAATGCCGTTGTGATGTCAGGTATACCTGGAGTCTCGGCTGTGACAGCAGCACACTGATGCGTTGGCAGGACCACAGCAGGAAAGGCAGAGGCCCAGGCCGGCTGCTGCGCAGTGCAGAGGGGGAGGCTCGGCCAGAGCCCAGAGTAGGACCTGGGCTCCAGGAGGTCCGAGCTGTGTGGAGCAGAGTTATGTCCAGGTGGTACTAGAGCCCGCCTGTCTGGCAGGGGATGAGCTGGAAGCCTGGGCTGAGGGCAGGCTGCTCCAGAGGCACTCAGGGAGCCAGGGACCAGAGAGCAAGAGACCTGGGGGCGCCAGGTCCCACTGGGCTGGCAGCGGGGGCGTCAATCACGCTGCAGGTGTTGGAGGCTGTGCCCGCCAAAGTCCCCAGTGCACAGGAGGGAGTGGCCAGAGGGCACCAAGGCCTAGATGTCTGCCCTTCCTTCTCTTTCTCTTGGGGAGCAGGGTACTGTCCACACCATCCCCAGGGCGGGAAAACCAGCAGTGTCCAAGTCTGGCTTCCACGTTTCCATGGCGTCACTGCTCTCACCTGTCTGACCACCTCCCTGCTCAGGCTCTGGCCGCATCACAGCCACATCACAGCACCTGCCAGCCTCTCAGTGGGCTTCTGGGCCACCTGCCCTCTAACACACAATACCTCACCGGCACCATCACCCCCGAATACCTGCAGCTGCTTCCCTCCAGAGGCCGAGTCCAGATCGCTCTGTGAGGCATCCACGGCCCCCGAGGTCTTCTCCCCAACATCTGAGTCTTGACTGTCTCTGTCTCCTGGTGACTGTTAGCCAGTGAGATGTGGCCTTGCCACCCCATCCCCTGCCCCTGCAGTTGCCAAGGCAGGACCCCACTGCTGACTTGTTCATCTGTTTCCCTTTGAGGCATCCTTCTTGCAGCCTCTTCCTTCCTAGATGGACTTTTCAGACCCCTCTCTTGGTCTGCACTTCTCTCCTGGGCCATGTTACCCACCCCAACCTTCACGTGCCACACGTCAGACCCAGCCAGTCTCCCCTGAGTTCAAGACCTCTCTACTGGGGTCTCCAAACACATCCCCCCATCCTGCCTCAGTGAATGAATGGCCCCCTGTCCTTCCCCCATGAGGAGCCACCATCAGCTCTTCCATCTTTTTACCCAACGTCCGACAAGTCTCCGACGCCTAACATCAACCCAGGCCCACCTCTTCACCCCCAGCCACCTCTGAATCCAGACGTTTCATGGCCTCAGGGCCTTTTGCCTCATTTCTTAACTGTTCTCCTGGACTCCTGGTACCCAGCACAAAGCCAGGAACATACGATGCCCTGAAAACAGTATCATCACACAAAAATTGTGTGAGGTGCCCCTGCCAGGCTTTCCCACCTCTGCCAGCCACTGGGGCCAGCAGGCAGGAAAACTCCAACTCTGGCCCTGGCCTCTCCTCAGGCCTTCTGCCACGACACTCACGTGAGGCAGGTCTAGGCCTGTGGCCTTTTGCAAATTGGGGGCCTCATTCAGGAAATAGTCTTCAATAGGAACACAAACCTAGACATGGGCTCCGAGGCTTCCGGTGCGTCCTCTCTGGTGATGGCGTCTCACTTGTCATCACCCACACCCGTTCACAGCTGCAGCCCTGTCATGCCATGCTCTACATCCCCTCCTCTGTGTCCCCTTCCTTTTCCCCCTGCAGAGTTCAGAGCTCCTGGGAACACACCTGCCCGTGCCCCACTGCATATCACCCACGGAGACAGAGCATAGCCTGGCCCCAGTGTCCCTGCCTGTTGAGCACAGGACTCATTCAGTCTGGGTTTCGGAAGAACAGGCCTTGCTGGCCTTGAGGCAGGTATGGTCAACCCAGCACAGAGGGTTCTGTCCAGATCCTCCACAACCAGAGCAGCAGGCAGGGCCTACAGCAGGCCACCAGGGCACAGTTTCTTGACCTTCTTGGGGAGCACAGGTCTCCTATGAGATCTAATTAGTGACCCTAGCAGGTCTGAAGACCACCACACACAGTGCCCTACTCGCCACAAACTTGTCAAAGGCACTAGAAGTACTGCAGCGAAGAATCTCTTTGTGTTTCCAAAGCTATTTCACCACGCACTTCTTCTGTAAAACCAACTTGAGAGTGAGGCAGGAGTGAAACAGAGACCCCCGGCAGAACTGAGCACTGCTGTGGCCTCAGGTCACACGTGGGGTCCAGATCCAAGCACGGGGCCTGGAAGACGACTGGAGCCCAGAGGCAGGGGTGAGCCTCTCAGACATGGGGAGCCAGGAGATGAGGGGGGCCCCAGGGCCAGTTGTGGAGCTCAGAGTCAGCTTTGCGTCAACACCCAAATGCAGCTTCAGAGTCAGCTGTGGGGCCCCGAGACAGAGGAGGGGTTCTGAGCAGACCAGTGGTCCGTCTAGCAGGGCTAGACTCAAAGCTGGGAACACAGTGCGGTGGACAATCTGAGATCAATGCTTCCGAAGGTAAAAGGTCCTAGACCTCCCAAAGGCAGCATGAGGGTGCTGCATACTCCAGCTTCCACCCCAAAATCAAAGATGTTCCCAGTGCCAAGGAGCTGATCATTTTCTGCAAGTTACCAAGCTTTGGTTCCATGACATACAGGGCAGCTTAAGTGGCACAGAAAGATCTCAGGCTGCAGGGCAACTGTGCTAAAGACCACAGATGGACCGAGCCCTCTGTGGAGCCGGTGGGCAGAGAGGGGATTTCCTTCCCTGTGGTGTCTGCTGAGCGAGGAGAAGGACCGACCCGGGAGATGAAACCGAGGAAACACACGGGGACTGGGGACATTGCTCAGGTGTGACCCTGAGGTTGGCCATGGCAGAGGCCCCAGCAACCTGGGAAGGAAGCAGCCGTACCTGGACGTCAGAACTTCCCACTCTTGGGACGTTTCCCTAAAAGAGGGTTTCACTGGCAGTTTCATCCTGAAGGGAGAAGTGAGTGCCAGCCACCGCTGGCTGCAGGACAAGAGCCGACAAGCAGCGACGGGCCCCAAGCCACGGTCGGCACACAGAGGGCCAGACCTAAGGCAGGACTGGCCTCAGACGTGGCCACGAGCATCCTGTGCTCAGCCTCCTGGCTGCAGCCAGAATACAGAGGCCAGGTGGGCAGTGGGGCCACCCCAGATGAAGGCAGGCGGAAGAGCAGCAGCGACAGGAGGGAACGCAGGGCCAAAGGGCGGTTTGATGCCACTGGCATGCCCCGTGCATGGGGTGCTATTTACTACATACGTGGCTGGCAGATAAAGGCATGTGCATTTGTGCTGTGCAGGGCACATGTCTGCTGCTTCTGTGGGAGTGAACTGCTAAGCACAAGCCCGTGTGTGTCATCAGAGGGGGTTTAATGACAGATTACGGCAGATTATTCTGGATTAATCTCCAGATTACAGCAGACGGCACAGGGCTTGAGCTCAGACAGACGCTACTATTTACTGCCTGGAGTGAATCTCTCCGGAGCCTCCATTTTATTGTCTGGAAAATGGAGATCATATTATGGTCCATCTAACAGACGGCTGTGAAGAGAAACTAGCATGAAGGGACGGTCTCTAGGGCCGTGCCTAGCGTGCTCATCTTCCTGCAACAACTCTAAGACTTAGGCCAGGTGCCTTTCTGAGTGCCTGGGTGTCCGTGGCAACAAAGACAACGCTGGCTCGCGCGCAGTGAGGGCCCGCCGTGCCCCAAGCCCAGGGCCTGCTTGGTGCTTTGCGGGCGATGCCCAGGCTGCTCTTGTGGCAGCCCGCGGAGCCTGCTCATTCTAACCCCCACTTCACAGGCGAGGGACAAAAAGAAGTTCACAGAGGCTTGTCCAAGACTACGAAGCCAAAAGGTGACCTGCCGAGGGCTGAAGTCCAGCACCCTCTGATGGCCTCAAGCTGACGCCAGGCAAAGCAGCGAGCTGCTGACATTGCCGAGGTCCCTATCACAGGGACATCTGTGTCGGGCCACCCAGCATCTGGTTCCTCTGGTAACAGCACTTGGCTTCCCTCTGGAGAGCCCCTCCTCTCTCTTGGCACCTGTTTGCTAGGTGGGCTGACCGCACCTCCTTGCTCCTGAGAGAACACAGGGAGCAAGCCCAGCTGATGACAGCCCCACATCCCTGATGCCAGTGGTGGGTCAGGGGAAAGCAGAGGACCCACATGAAGCCAATCACAGGCCAGAATTTGGCAGGATCTGCTGCGTGAGGGGGGCTGCTTCCCAGTGGGCCTGTGTTGCTGGTCCTGCCCTTCCCTGTCCCATGTCCCAGAAGGAAAAACATACAGGGACCTGGTGAAACCCGGAGCCACGGGATAATAGAGCCTTACCGTGACCACGGCAAAATGCTAAAGACCACAGTGGGAAGATGAACTCACAGAAGGGGAGTGCCAGAAGGTTCTGCTCAGGAATTACCTGGCTCTTGCCCTGCAACTGCTGCAGCCGCCCCACAGGAGTGAGCAGAGCCCATGACAAGGTCTGGGCTCACCTGGGCCTGACCACAGGGACTCAACGCGCAATAAATCTGAGCCGCTGTCTGTCCTCCCATGGTATCTGTCCTAAGCCTAGACCTCAAATCACAAAAGACAGCACTTGCGTTTAGCTTCATTCTTTCGTCCATTTAACGAATGTTTATTGAGGGCCTGTACTGGGCCAGGCGCTGTGCTATGCACTTTAAATGGCTTTGATCTCATTGAGGCCGAAAGGCAGAGAGGAATGGAGGGCTGGTTGGGGGTGGAGAAGCAGAAAGGGAGGACAGGGGGCTGGTCAAGGCTGAGTCAGAGACCTCCACCCTCAGGGTCTGGTCCTGCACAGAGGCCTAGACCTGGGCTGCTCATCTCGGACACTCACTCTAAGGGCATGTTCAACGCTGCACTGCTGGGAAGAGAGCTTTCAAATTTGAGCAAACCCCCAGGATGACAGCAGCTGAAGGCAGTGTTCCTGGACCTTAGCGGAGGTGCCATGAGCTTCGCAAACTCCTACTTTTTTTTTTTTTTTTTGACACAGTTTTGCTCTGTCTCCCTGGCTGGAGTGCAGTGGTATCATCACAGCTCACTACAACCTCAAACTCCTAGGCTCAAGTGATCCTCCTGCCTCGGCCTCCCAAGTACTTGGAACTACAGGTGTGTACCACCATTCCCGGCTAATTTTTCTATTTTTTTGTAGAGACGGGGTCTCGCTCTTCCTCAGGCTGGTCTCCAACTCCTGGCCTCAAGCAATCCTCCTGCCTCGGCCTCCCGAAGTGCTGGGATCATGGGCGTGAGTCACTGTGCCCAGCCGCCCAACTTATTTTTTGAATCCTGAACTAGAAGAAGATAGAATGGCCAGACTCTTGTAAGACCTGCAAAGTCCTCAAGCCTTGAACACCTCACTACTTTGTGAACTCTGCCTTCCAAGGCTGACAGTAAAGGTCCCACTAGGCTGGTCTTCAGGGCAGCAAAGAAGAGTCAGGAGCTGGTACCTACACACGTCTCCCAAACCCAGAAAGGAGAAGGGGAGACCCAAGGGCACAGAAGGCAAAAGCAGCTTGAAAATCACAGACAAGAGGGCTGGCAGGGGACAACCAGCTCTTACACCAGCATCCATGCAGCCCAGGGGCCCAAGGGGACCCCCTTTGGAGGGAGCGTTGAGGGCAGGGCCCTCAAGGAAAGACTCATGGGATCAGCCCAGACAGAGCAGCAACAGCCTCAGCAGCACCCAGTGCCCTGCTCAGCTCCTCTCCCCAAGTCCTCACCCCAGGTAGAGGCAGGAGGGGAGGACCGGCAGGGAAAGGAGAGCAGGTGAGAGGGCAGATGACAGTGCACACGGATGGTGCGACTTCCATTTGTCTTCCCCATGGACTTTAACAATCACACACAGGAATCTGTATTTAGGGGACTCTGAGGTGGTACCAAGAGGCAGAAAATAGGAAGTTAGTGACAGGTCCCAAAAAGAAAAGGAGCCAGTGTGCTCCAAACCCCAAAAGGAGGCAAGGCAAGAGGCAGCTCTGGGGAAGAGGGCACCAGCCACGTGGGGCAGCCACACGACCAGAGAGGAGGAGTGGAGGGATGGGGTGGCAGACACGGGGCCACAGAGAAGCTGGGAGGAGGGAGGTGCAAATCCAAAGTAGACCATAAAACGACCCTGCATGGTGGCGGCGGCCTGGGGCAGGGCAGAGTGAGGCAGGGAGCCCCCCAGGGGGCCAAGGAGCTGCTCGTGCCCAGCCCAGGTCTCTGATAAGCACCCAGCTCCACTTCTAGCACCAACAGGGATGTAGAAGGCAGCAGCCCTGATGTTTCAGAGACTTCTGTCTCATACAGGCCAAGCCAGACCAGATAAAGAGGGGGATGGCCATGGGGTGGGGGTGCCACAGACAGCTAAAGGATGGGACAGAAAGAGGAGTAACAGGGGGGCCTTGGATGGACAAGAGGAAGAACAGGGGTGAGGGGCATGGACAAGGCACAGAACCCTCCCACACCGCACTGCTCACCGAGCTGCTGCGATGGGCGACTTCTTGGCAGGGTCCAGCAGGCCACCCAGGCCACCAACCGGTTCCTCCCCCAGGGAGCGCGTGTCTTTGTTCAGCTGCTGCAGGCGGGAGCTGAGCTCACTGATCACAGTCGGTTTGTCGTCTTCAGGCCCAGGGAGCCCCCGGCTCTCCACGGGGTCCCCCCACAGCTTGGACCTTCTCTGGAAGAGGTAGCGAGGGCGGGCAGGCCCAGCGGCAGAGGCCAGCCCGGCAGAGGCGGCATGGTGCTGCTGGGCCATGAGCTCGCTGTCCGAGGACTGCTTCAGCAGCGGGTCCCTGAAGGTCACCGGCCCCTTCCCCAGCGGGGACTTGAGCTTGGGCTTGGGAGGCACTGGTGGCTTCTCGAGTAGAAAAGTGTGTCCGTCGGCGAAGGAGGTGTGGGTGTCGGTGAGTTCCCCGCTCTCGGAGCTCAGGGTGGACATGCTGGACACCGTGGAGATGGTGCTTGTGGTCTCCAGGTGGGGGTCACTGGAGCTGCGTGTGTCAGCTTCCTCTACCCCAGAGTCGGCTGCAGACTCTGGGGCAGGGGGTGGCTCACTGCTGGGCTTCCCTGAGGCCGGGCTGGGCACCGTGGTGGGTGAGGGGCCCGGGCCGGTGAGTGGAGTGGCCAGCAGGATCCCGTTGGCAAACTCTTCAGGGGGCGGCACCAGCCCAATGCGGGCCAGCTCTTCCCTGGTCTCCTCATCACTGGAGGACAGCTGGGCGGGCGGCAGATTCACAGCGAACACCAGCTCTGGCTCTTCCTCTGAGCTGCCCTGGCCTGGCCCGGAGTCTGCTGGGGTGCTGCCAGGGGGCTGGGCCCGGGGGCTGGGCAGGGGCTCTGCCACGGCCGCTGACTGCATGGGGGCTGGGGCCAGCTCCGGGGTGCCCGGGCGCTCCTCTTCAGCCCCCAGCCTGCTGGGCTCCTGCCCATTGCTGGTGGCATGCACAACAATGAGGCCAGCTGGTCGCTGCAGGGACGTGTCCAAGACGCTGAGGATCATGGACTTCTTGTCCTCAGGTGACTTCCGCTCCTCCCGGGGAGCCTTCTCTGCCTCCCTGCGAGCAGGCACAGGAATCCAGGCCGGGCTCCGGGGGGAAAAGGCTGGGGAGGCCAGGGTCCCTCGCTCTGAGTCCCGGGCCTGTACATCCACAAACAGGGGTCCGGGGCGGTCAGCATCAGGACTGTGCACAGGTGTGGGGGACCGGGAGGGCGTCTGGGAGGCCAGAGCTCGCTCCCGGGCAGCGAGGGCAAGGGCCAGGGGTGAGCTGGGGTCCAGGGGTTTGCCGGTGAGTGGGTGGATGAAGGTGGAGCCCGAGGGCCCGAGGCTGGGGCCGCTGACCAATGGCTTCAGAGCAGAGACAGGGGAGGGTAGCAGCAGATCTCGTCCAGCAGTGGGGCCAGTGCCCAGGAGGCGCTCGTCGATGGAGCGGGAGGGCTGTAGCGACGGCAGCTCCGCGCTGGGGGGGCTGCCCTCGATGGCGCCCACCGACAGGAACACAGTGGAGCGGCGCCGCTCCTCCAGCCGCCGGTCCTTGGCCGGGCCTGGGCCACCGAAGGCAAGCCCGGGGCCGTCCCCTGCGCCGTAGTCGAGGCCGCCCGGGCGGGGGCCCCGGTGCGTCGGGGAGGGCTCACGGGCGAAGCTGCCGCCGACCGGGCCAGGACTACCCACAGCCAGGGCCGCGCGCTCCTGCGCGTCCTCCACCTGCAGCTGCTTCACCAGTGGGCTCTTGCGGCGCTGCGGTTTGGATGGTGCGAAGAGGCTGGCACTAAAGGCGCCCAGGTTGGCGTAGGGGCTGTCAGGGCCTGGCGGCCGCGGCCGTCGCTTAGGTCGTTCTGGCGGGGTGGCTGCGGGCGGGGGCCGGGGGACGTCGCCCGTCTCGGGCGCCGAGTCCTGCAGGATGATCATGGAGCGCGCGCGCTTCTGCCGCTCGGGATAGGGCAGTGGGCCAAGGGGTGCGCCTGGCTCATACAGGCCGGCGGCCCCCGCGCCCAGGCGCGCCTCCAGGCCGGGCTTGAAGCTGGAGCGCACCGTGTCGTAGGCACGGCCAGGCGGGGGCGGCGGCGAGAAGGCCGGGGGCGGCCCCGAGTCGAAGTAGTAGGGCGCAGGCGGGGGTGGCGGCGCGGTCTGCGGCGGGGGCGGGATGCCACGGCCCTCGCGCACCGTGTCCTGCATCGAACTGCTCCGCGGAAAGCGCCCTTCCAGCAGGGACGCCAGCTTCTCGTCCTCCCCTGCGGATGGAAGGTACCGGTGAGACACTGGCGGCTGGCGCCTTCGGAGAGACCCCTCCAGACCCCTGCACCGACTCCAGCCCCGGGCAGCCACAATTCCAGACACAAGGGCCAGGGCGCAGGCAGAAACCTTGGGGAAGATGGGGACCGGGGAGGCTGGGGGATGGAGGGTAGGGGAGTATAGGGAGCCCAAAGCGGGTGCTCTGAGCAAGACTCCAGTGTGGGCTCATCCCTGGACGCCCAAGCTGGGCGCCTCAGGCCCGACCTTGCACAAGGACTCTTGTGAAGAGTACGGAATGTTCAGCTACAGGGTGAAGGAGGGCCCCAGCAGTGGAGCCCTGAGAAAGGACCCAAATTTTGACTACCTGGGTGGGGCCTAGACCTGTCCAAGCCCAGGGACATGCAGCAGGCCCTGACAAGACATCCCAGGAGGGAAGGGGCAACCCCCTACCCTAGACAAGCACAGGGCTTCCCAGTGAAGACTGAGCAAGGCCATCTCAGAAACACCACCGGGGCAACAAGTAGGTGTCAGTGCGAGCCCCTGGGGGCAGCCGAGGGTGGGATCAGAAGTGAGAGGGACACTCCCCCAGAGCAGGAGTGATACGCTGTCTGCCAATGAGGGGAAAGGGAGCCATGGCCTGTCAGAGAGCACTGATGCCCAGGTGAGGAGGTACCTGTGGAAGAAGCCCCGAGAGGCTCCTCCCAGAGATCCGCATGGATGGGTGATGTAACCGCAGTGGCTGAAATCTGGTAAGGCTGGGTGAGTGGGAAGGAAGAATGGATGGATGGATTAAAACGGAACTGCAGGCTGAGCACCCAGTGCATGTCTCAGCCTTACCCCCTCTTGGCTGCATGACCCCAAGCCCTGCGCCCTCTGAGCTGCTGTTCTGTCATGGGCAACACAGGCTTCAAATGAACACCATTCTCCCTGCCGCACTCAGGCATCGTTAGAATCCTGCGCAAGGGCTGGAGTGGTCAGGGCCCTTATTGTCCTGCTGTCCAGCTAGAGTCTGATAGAACTTCCTGAGCATCTTATGGACATAATGTGGACACCTGTGTTCAGGTGTGTTCGGTCAGGCTGTAGGTGCCAGACAGCCCAATCCCAGGGGAGTGGATGACACACAAGGTCTCTGGTGGTGCTCTACACCTGGCCTCACTCTGGCTGGGTCGGTATTTTTATGCACTCGCTGTGATGCAGACTGCCTGTTCCTGATCACATCCTCCTTCAGCCACCGCAGCACTGACGGAGCCTCCGAGACGACACTGTCTGCACCCTGCTGGGCACGACAGCTCTACAGCCCCAGGTATAGCAAGGATGGGCTTGTGCACACAGACTTATGCTTGAATTCCAGCTCTGCCAGGTACTGACATTCCTTAGCCTCTAGGAACTTCAGTTCCCTCATCTCAGGAGGACGCCTGCTGATGTCATGGGGCCATTTAAAGTTCATGGTACAGGGATGAACAGGTGGCAGCATTCTGGGAAGGTGGCCACGGTTATCACCATCATTATTTTTAGGTCTGCTTTCCTTCCCCGCGCCCCCCACTGGACACAATCTGTGCCCAGTTCACCCTGGGTCTCCTCCCGCTGCACATCTTGCACAGTGTACGAACACGCACCCAACACCTACAAGCCTGTGCGTTAGATGGAGCTATGCAGAACACACCTTGAGGATGTAGAAGGCGGGAGTGACGTGTGAAGATGAAAAAGGGGAAATTTAATGCTAATGGCATGCCAAGTTCTGGCTTAGGGTAAAGAAAAGTCACTTGCCTCAGCATAGAATGGGGAATCTATTCTAATATCATCTGGGGTAGGGGCAGGACCCTTTGGGGCAAAGGTAGACCCTCTTTGCTCAAATAATAGCAGAGCACATTTCTTGAGCACTGACTGGGTGCCAACTTCTAGATGCAGGACCTACATCCATTAACAACATAAGCAGCTGCTAAGCATTCCCCATATGCTGGGCACAGGACTTGGCCCGTGAGTACAGCCCACTGGATGAGCCTCAGAGGGGTCCTTGGAGGTAAGTACTAGGTGGCCTCTATGTTTATGGGTCAAAAGGATTGGATCTGAGGTTGCAAGGGTTACAGCATGTGCCCGGAGCTACACAGTCAGGACACAGGGTAGGAGCCTGGGGTGTCTGAGAACTCGACCAATGCTCGTATTGGCAGCTGGAGGCACACAAGGCCAGAAGGAATGAAAGCTGAGCCCCTGTCAGCTTACTGATCAACTGAGCACAGGAGGGCACAGCAGGACCAGTGACGGGGAGCTGGCGTCTCTACCGAGTGGCTCAAGGCCTGCAGGCAGGCGCATAGATCTGGAGCTGCCGGCAGTCAGTCCTGGGACTGGGCAGGGCTGAGGGACAGGCCATCCAGGCACAGTGAGGGCAGGTAGGGAGCATCAAGAAGCCTAGAAGCCTAGCACCAGAAGGCCTAGGTCGGAGGGGGTGAGGACAGATGTCCCCAGAGGAAGCAGGAGACGGCCGGGGCTGGTACTGGGCCCCTAAGACAGTAAGGAGCCTACAGAGGGTCAAGCTGAGGAATGCGGAGTGATAACTGCTTTGCAGAAAGCCTCCTTTGGCCAGAGGGATGGACTCAGGGCAAAGCCAAGGAAGGAGGTCGTGAGGAGAACAAAGCTGGGGTCCAGGTGCGGGGTGACGGGCAGGGCTGCAAGGCATGTGAGGAGGTAGCCCACCCCCACTTTGTCGGGTGGAGTGGAGGATACGGAAAGAACCATGGAGGACACGTAGGCCTCAGGCCAGGGAGGAGCACCTCTTGGTTACAAAGTAGCTCCAGTCTCACCAGCCTTCTTCCCTACCCTCCCACCTACAGAAACGACTCTTGGCAGTCCCTGAAGGACCAGGCCACATGCCCGTGTGCCTTTTACACACTGGCCTATCAGCAATTCACCCCACTGTCCCTCAGAAACTCCCACTTATCTTGCATGTCTAAGAACACACAGCCCAACCCCAGCTTTCTGTGATACCAGGTGTGGCTGGAGCTGTTCCTTCATCAGCTCCCCTTGTACGTGTGTCCTGACATCCACCACATAACTGCTGAGCTGTCTGAAAACATGTCACGTCCCCAGCTGAGCCCCAGAATCAGCCTGGGATCGGCCTAGCATGAGCACCACTTGGTGGGGTCCTGAGGTGGGTGAGGGATGGGCAGGTGGTTGGCCAAAGGGTGAACTGAAGACCACAGGTAGGGCAGCTGTGTGACCTTGGGCAGGTCATCTTACCCCTCCTTGCTTCAGCTTCCTCTTCTATCACATAAAGGTACACATGGTGCCACCTCAACGTGGCTATTGTACTAGACACTGCATCCAACCCGCAGTGAGTGCTGAGCAGGGTTTGCCCTGGTGTGTGGCAGGTGGGGACATGGTGGGTGTCTGTGGATGATGGACGGACGAGCGGGCAGGTCCGTGGATTGACGGGTGCACAGCCGGGCAGCTGAGGGGAGACGGGATGCCTGGAGGGATGCGCGCAGCTGGTTAGATGTCCAGGTCTGGGGTCGGGAGAGGGGACGGCCAGTGGGGGGGGTGATGGCTGACGAGCACTGGGGGAGGACAGCTGAGGGCACAGCCTGAGAAATCACTGCCTTTGGGGGATTGGGGCAGTGGGGGTGGAACAGGGGCAGCCTGAGAAAAGAGGGAAAAACCAAGCAGTGCTGTCCTAAAGCCCCGAGGAGGAGGGTTTCGTAGAGGGGGAGCGAAGGAACCAAAAGCCAGCTGAGGTCAGTCAGAGGAAGGGTTTGCGACACTGAGAAGAACGTCCTGGAGGCCATCAGTGACCCTGGTAGGAGCAGTTTCAATTTTGGATATAGAGAGAGCAAGTCTGCTGCAGGCTGGGAGAGGTGGGAGACAGGAGGCAGCAAGCAGAGGTGAGTTTTTGTGGCTACGAAGGGCAGAGAGGGCAGTACCTGGAGGGGTGGGGCAGCCAGGTTCCGGGGGGTTAGTTTTAGGATCAGAAACTCGGCATGCATTTGGCTGCGGGGAGCGGCCAGGACAGGAGACAGCTGACCTGGGGACAGGGCACTGGTGCCCGTCAAGACGTGAGGGTGCGTGAGGCGGGGCGCCTGCTGGGGGAGCGGTGGGTGGGGTGGGCACATTCTCAAGGGTCTCGTCCATGTATCTCTAGGTTGGGGGAAGGTAGGACCCCTCCTATGTCCACAAATGAGATCCCTGGGCTGGGGCCAGGGAGAGGTGGGACTTGGAAACTGGAAACCCAGTTAGGGGTAGGGAGAGGCAGCATCCTCTAAACCCAAATCCACCCCGCCAGCCCAGCCCCATTCCTCCCAGCCCCGTCCCGCCCAACAGCCCGGCCATACCTACAGACTTGGTCCGTGGAATCCCCTTCCGCAAGGAGCCCGGCAGCTTCTCTGGGCCTGCGAGCCCCTGGCGCTCAAACAATGACTGTGGGGGTCAGGGAGGGGGATATGGAGGTTCCAGGGCACTGGGGGGACCCCAGTCCTCCTAAGCTGGAGACCAGTCACCCCATGCACTCACTCCAAGGGCGCTGGTGCCCGTGGTGCCTGGACCAGGAATCAGATCCAGGCCCTGGCCTGGGGAGCAGCGATGCCGCCCGCTAGGGCCTGGGCAGGTGGGCAGTGTGGACGGTGGGCGGGGCGGGTGCAGAGCCTGGGTATGGGCTGGGGGAGGGTGGGGAGGAGCACAGAAGGCACAGGGTGGGGCAGTGGTCAGGGGACAGGGCATCTAGGAGGTCCTGGGCATGACACAGGGACGGCCTGAGGCCTGAGGCCCTGCAAGCTGCGGCCACGGGAGTGAGAACCCAGCGAGAGCCGAACCGTGGCCCTCCTGGGGCTGCAACGGCCTCGAGCGTCTCTGAGAGGCTGTTGGTGCTTCACCCACCTCCGGAGAAGGGTCCAAATGACGGGCTCTCACCTCAGCAAGGAGGGGCCGTGACATTCTGAACCCCACACCCGACTGTCCTGGCACTCCCAGCTACCCACGCTGGCTTACGCTTATCTCGGCAGGGGTGATCCTCCGACTGGTGGGCCGCTGCTTGACAGTGGCAGCTCTGGAGTCGGCGTCCGCGATGTCCGGCCTCAGCGTTGGCTCCGCAGCAGCTGCCAGGATCTCATCCAGCTTCTCTGCACAGCCAAGGAGACCCCATCTCAGCCGCCGGGACCCGCCTGCAGCCGCACTGCCGCGTCCTCCCAGGCCGGTCCACCCCGTGGTGCCGACGGAGGCCCCTCACTCCAGGTCACCCCACGGACCCCACTCGAGGGAAGGGAAGAGAGCAGGGCAGGGACAGACCGTTCAGAGCCCAGTCTTCCTGAATTTCTCTCCATTTCCCCTTGTCCTGTCCCCGTTCTGAGCACACGGCACGTAACATACCCCCACCGCCACATTAGAAGGGAGGCTGTTTGTGGCGGGATCCCAGCCCTAGGACAGACCCCAATATACAAGCAGGTGTCCACGAAAGATGTCTGAATGGGCGCATAAACCAATATTGAAGGAGTTAATGAACAGATGGGGGGATACTTTCTGAAAACAGTTTGCTGCTCCAGGCTAGGACCTAAAAAACTGTTTGATGCAAAACAGGCCAAGGCAGCCCTACCCAGGGTGGGAGGTGCCACGAAAAGAGGAGGAAGTGGGGGGACAGTGAGGGAGGACCCCCCACTGACAGGGCTCCTGTGCCCCTTAGAAAGCAGCTGGGGCCAGAGAAAGGGAGAGGGGCAAGGAGGCCGCAGCCGGGCTCACGCCTGACACGGCCCTCACTGGGAGGGGGTACCAGGCAGGCCATGGCAACATTCTTTTCAAATCTATTACCAAAGAGAAGCTTTTTCTTGTTCGCTTGTTATTAAAGTAAAATTAATGTCTTAAAAAGTGGTATTTTTTATCAAAGTGATTTGGAAACTTTGTTAAACTAACGTGTATCTGGGGACTGTCGGAGCTCTGGCGGGATGACTCCCCCGGGGTCCGCGGATCTCACCAAGGGTCCACCCAGCTCTAGCCCCGCCCCCACTCCAGGCTGGCTCGTGGGGCACGCAGCAGGGCTGGGCAGCACCTGTGTGCCCCGGCCGCTCCGCCAGCCCCTCGCTCAGCAGCCCCACCCACCACACCCACAGGCCCTTCCCGGCTCTCGGGGGCTGTGGCAACTCTAGCGGACCCCACGTCTGGTCACACTCATCCTGGCATCCTTCACTCTCCAAGCGCCCGTGTTGGAGAACCTCAGTGGTCGGCCTGGACACCTCCTGCTCCTTCCAGCCCCACCTGTGGCCGTTCACAGCCCCTGGTCTGCTGAGCAACTGCTGTGGGGAAGTAAATGGCCTTCCTGACACTGCCTGCACCCAACCCGGACCAGACCTGGCCTGTACACCGACTGTCCCGACTTAACCTCTTTTGACTGAGTGTTCTCATCTGATACAACAGGCATAAAAACAGCACCTGCTTTGCATGTCTCTAGTGGGGATCAGCACACAAGAAGGGCCCACGCTGAGTGCACACGCACACGAATCTCCCTGTCTGCGCGCCTCGTCTCCCCAGACAGCTTGTGGGCCCTCCAAGAAGAGAGCCAGCATGTTCTCTGTGCTCCGCCAGTGCCCAGCCTGGGCCCTGAACAATGCAGAAGTTCACCAGCAAAACACACTCCAACGCGGAACAGCCGGGCCTGCTGGAGGCGCCCAGCACGCAGGCGACGCAGCCCGGGAGCAGATCAGGGACTGCTGTCTTTGTAACCGAGCGAACAGTCTCCTTCAGAAGCTGAAATCGTCATCACCACAGTTTGTTCAGTTCTCGGTGGTTTCCAGAGAGTGCCGGGCTACACGAATCCCCTCTCTCATCCCACAACAACTGCATGAAGATCCTGTTTCTACTTCTTTTTACCCTGTAGCAAACTGAAGCTCAGAGAGAGAAACTGTCCCAGGCCACAGATCCAGCAAATAAGAGACCAGATGTAGCTACCACACTCTCCAGAAACCGCAGAAGTAAAGACACGAATGGACGGAAAACTCCGTGGCATACACGGAGTTGGCGTGTAATACACGCCACCACCTGAGCCCCCTGAGCCCCGAGCTGTGGGTCACGAGAGGCTGCGTCTCCAGGTCCGGAAGCCCCGATCCCAGCCACCCACAGCAGTGTGCGCGTGAAGTTTAGCAAAGCGGGTATTTCTTGTCATGTGGCGATGGTGTTGGGGCCGGGCGGGAATTAGGTCCAGAGGGAAAGAATCAAGAATTCTGCAAATCACAACCTGATGACACTGACAAAGCACGCCCCCCCACCCCGCCATTAGAAAATAGATTCCTAAATAGATCATTTCAGATACTTATAAAAAGGAAATGAAGCCGACAAGGAGCTAGGTGGGCCCGCCCCTCCCAGCAGCCTCGCACAGGGGCCTGGCGCTGTGTGATCAGGGCCACAGCGCAGCACCCGGGAGCCCCTCGAATGAGCGGGAGGGCAGAACCGGAGTACTCCAGAAACAGCTTGAGTCTGCCCCGAAGGCGTGGAGAAAAGGTCCCTGAAGGAGACCATCATGTTTTTAGTACCTGGAGAGACACTGGGGAAGGCCTTCACCTGGGCTGGGGCAAGAGGCAGCAGAGCCTTCGCAGGGCAAAGGAGGGCAGGGAACGCGGGTCGGGCAGGAGAGAGCTGGGCCAGGGGCCAGCGGAGGTGCCCCCGGCCCAGCAGATCCGGAGTAAGGGATGGCGGGTGCCAGGCACACCTGGGGCCACAAAGCCACCGTGGGCTTTTTCCTCTGGGCCCCGACTCCCCTCGTCCTCGAGCAAAGGCTGCCGGAGGCCAGGCCCCAGGACCTCGCCAGGTGGTGTCCCTCAGTACCCAGGCCGGTGACTCTGTCCCCACCCGAACACAGCGTCCCCAGCACAGGCTGCACATCCAGGACATACAGGGAGAAGCCTCAAAGGATGCGGGGTGGGGGCACCTGAACAGTGAGTGGGAGGGTGAAGCTGGTAGCCTGGGAGGGCTGCTAGGCAGGGGAGCTCCACACTCCCCCTGCCAAGTTGTGGGACTCAGATCCCTGCTCTAAAGGGACTGTCTGCTCTGGGCTTGGCCCTGCGACCAACCAGCATGCGGATGGCGTGGCGCCCACAGCCCAAGCACAGGCCCCGAGAGGACAGGCAGAGAGAAGCAGTGCAGGCCGCAGCTGAACACCTCGACGTGGCCCAGTTCCCCTGCTCCCTCGAGCTCCACCGTGGGCCCTCCGAGCACCGCCCACCACTCTGGGCCGTGGCACATGCAGCGGCCTCCACGGGGGCTCTGCCAGCTCCTCCCTGCCAGGCTGCCTCTGTAGCTCTCAGCCCACCGCTCCCCTGAGCCCCTGGGCCATGCTGAGTCTCCCCACCGCACCCCAGCTGGCCACACCCTGGGAACGTTCCGTCTGTCCTCCTCTCATGCCCCCACCAGATCCCCAGGGAAAAGCCAAACAGGAGGGTGCAGCCCAGGCTTCCAGACCACCCTGACTGGAGCTGGAGCCTCCTCACACACCAGCAGGGACACACCCGGACAGGGGTCAGGCAAAGCCGGGGCCCTGGGGATGCAAGCAGATGACTCACCCCCTTTTCTTCTCCGAATGGAGGCTTGGAATCAAGAAACAGAGCACAGGGGATGAGAGGCAGCTTCATCCCTCGGCACTGGCCCCGTTCCCCACACTCGTGTCCCTGCCCCGTCCCTCCCACCCCCACCTCCCCAGCAACCAGGACCTTTCCCGTCTACCAGCCTACACCTCTTTATCAGACCAGGAGTGGCAAATCTGTCCAAATGCAGAGTCGGCTGGTACCCGGCTTGAAATCCAAGGAGGAAACAACCACGAGCTGGAACGTTCACGTGTGTGCGCGCACACACATGCACACAGACATGCACGCGTGGAGCATGCACAAGTAAATCACACTTGGTTCTGTCGAGTGTTTGTTCAGAAAACAGGCAAAACCCCATAGAAACCAAGTTCGGATGCCACTGAAAACCGAGGTGGTCACCTGTGCACAGGTTTTAAACAAAGGCAGGACAAGCATGTCTGGCAGAGAAACCTTTTCCAGAATGAGGCCACTCACAGGGACGCTGGGTGTGACACATACCCTGATGTTCTCATCACAAAAGAAAAAGGGACCCAGAAATCACAGGGAAGTGAATGAACAGGAGGGGCGTCGACCTGCCAGGGCCTCCCTGGCCTGGGTCTCCCCTGGCCTTAGGCCCCAGCACACGCCTGGCTCAGGCTGAGCAGACGACCGCGTGGTGACCGTGAGGAGCCCCTAACGCTGACGAGAACAGGGCACTCGCCCTCCTCCTCCTCCCACCACCTGTCTCAGGAGGAGGGTCCGAACCCAACCCCTTCATTTCCAGGGCACCAGCCTTCGCTCACCCCATTCCCGCGCACACTGGCCCTTCCCTCCCCCTCCTCCCGCAGGGCCCTGCGTCCCCCATGGTCTCTGTGCAGCAGCAGCCACCTGGGCAGGAGCCTCTACCCTACCACCTGCCTTCCCTGTCACCTCGCACTTCCTCTTCTTCCTAGCTTCAGTTCATCTTCTCAGTAGACTACGGATCCTAAAAGGGTCGATCAGCTGCTGACAGCGACTGGCAGGACTGATGTTGCTGGCAATGACCCAACAGGTCTCATTCCTATTTTTTTCTTTTTGAGGCAAGGTCCCACTCTGTCACCCAGGCTAGAGTGCAGTGGCACAATCACAGCTCACTGCAGCCTCCAACTGCCAGGCTCAAGTGATCCTCCTGGCTCAGCCTCCCAAGTAGCTGGGACTACAGGCATGCACCACCACACCTGGCTAATTTTCAAGGTGTTTTTTTAGAGATGGGGTCTCACTATATTGTTCAGGCTGGTCTCAAACTCATGGTCTCAAGTGATCCTTTCACCTCAGCCTCCTAAAGTGCTGGGATTATAGGCATGAGCCACCGTGCCTGGCCACATTTCTGTCTTTTAAAAGCAAAAACACTGGATTGTGGGATGGTCCCTCAGGTACCTGGGGAAACCCTAGTGCTGGCAAATCAGCCATTTTCTGGGGGGACTGGTCAGAAGGTCAGCAAATGGGCTGGCTTCCCAGGACAGCTGTCCTCTGGGGACTAGGTGGCTTCCTGAGCTCTTGGGCGCCCAGGCCCTTCTCTGAACAGAGCAACATGAAGAGCCTGGCCCAGCTTCAACAGAAGCCATGACCCCAGGAGTATGCACAGAGGCTCCAAGCTAAGCTGTCCCTTCATCCTGCCCAGACTCCGCTCAGGAAAAAGCCTGGAAACTTATGCCGGCCTGAAGCTGCAAGTGAATTCCTCTGGAAGACAAGGGTCGTCCAGCAACCCCAGCAACCCCGTTCTGAGGCTTGATGTACCAGAGGAGAGAGGAAGAGGAGCTTCTTCCACTCACTGGTTTCTGCAGATAGAAAAGTCCAGAGAACAGAAGGCAGTTCTTCTACTTCTACAGGGCACAGTCCCTGGGTCCCAGGGTTAGAGATCTCATACTGCCCCAAAGCCTCTCCGTGCAGAATAGGAAGGGCCCTCCTGAACATGCAGCTGAACACGGTATACGACCGCCTCCGGCAGGAGGCTCAGCCTGATGTCCAGCCAGACCCAGCTGCCTACCGGTATTTGCTTTTGACCAGTTTGGATCCTCAATCGGTGCGACAGGTCAGCTCCCTGTGACTGACCTTGGACCCTCATGACCCCGTGGCCAGAAGTCTGCTAGCTTCTCTGCCTCATTCTTGAATGAACAGGGTTAGCTGGGTACAGAATGGTGGGTGGAAAGGCATTTTGACTTAAGACTTTGACGCTATTGTTCCATCGTCAGCTGCCGTCTACTATTGCTGATGAGAAGTCTGCTGTCGGCCTAGCCATCATTCCTCTCTAAAGCATCCAGCAGCTTCTCTCTCTCTCTTTCTCTCTCCCCTTCTCTGGTAGTTTTTAAGATTTTTCTGCTTGTCCACTGTGATCTACAATTTTACTATGATAGATCTAGATCTAGATTCACTTTTATTTCCTTGCTTGGAACTTACACTTCTTCAAACTGAAGGCTCATGTCTTTGTTCAACTTTGCAAAATTCTTAGCCATTTACTCTTCAAATATTGCCTCTTCCCCATTCTTGTTATTCTTTCCCCCGAGGACTCACATTAGGTAAATGCTGGGATTTTCTCACTAGTCCTTAGTATCTCTTAACTGCTGTTCAATATTTTGTATCTACTTATCTTTCTATGCTATATTCTGGGTAATCATCTCAGATTTATCTGAGATGGATCCCAGCCACGGATTTCTTTTTTATCACGGTGACGATAACAGTTCTTTAGGGGTCCTTTTGAAATGTGTTTATTCTTTTGTTGTTGTTGTTCTGTCCTGTTCCTTCATTAGGCATTCTGTTAGTTCTCTTAAACTCTGTAATAATTTAAACATTTTATTGTCTCTTTCATATTCTTCTATGATTTTGAGTTCTTTTGATGCGAATTCCAGCTCTTAGGCTTGGTTCTGACCTTCCTGCTTCTCACAGGTCCACAGCCACGTCTTTTAGCTCTGTGGGGGCATCGGAACCCCAACCTCTTGCCCTTGGGACCTATATTGTGGGCTATGGGAGCATCGGCTGCCTCCACCTCCCTGGTTTTCCTTTCTCTCTTCATTTTTGAGACCTGGGATTCCTCTTCCTTTGTTTTAAAATTGTCTGTGTGTGGTTTTTTTTTAGCTTTATTTTATTTGGAATATTTATAGTGAAGAAAATTCTGACTGGTCTATGTTGGTAGCTATTTCCCACAGTGAACTATACTGCTTCTGCTTGTACGGGGCAGCTCAGCCTGTGGCCAGAACAGGGTCCGAGCTCAGACCATGAGTAAGGTCAGGGGTAATTCTGGGGACCAGGGTAAGGGTTTCTTCTATGGTTGGGGTAGAATCAAGACTGAAGCCAGGGCTGGGGCTCAGCATAGAACCAGAATCAAGGCCTTTCCCATGGCCAGGACTTGGTCAGGGCCCAGCTTGGGACCAAAGGCAGGGTTCCTCTATGACTAGAGCCACAGTCAATTCTGGGGCTAGGATTGGCCTCAGACTACAGAAGGAAAGAGCATGTCGACTGTCACAGATACTAGGACGTGCCCGTGATAAGGCTGTTGATGGTTGGGACACACTTACAACGAGGCTGTTAATGGTCACATGTATTAGCACATGCCTACAATGAGGACAATGGTCACATGTACTGGGACATGCCCACGAAGAGGCTATTAACTGTCACATGTCAGGACATGGTCAAGTGCATCTGCACATGCCCACAATGAGGCTGTTCGTGGTCAACCTGGGACTGTGCCCACAATGTGCCCCATCGAAGCCCAGCACACTCCTGTCCCAGTTCCCTAACATTAGTGCTCACAACAGCCCTGTGAGGTCAGCAGGGCAACTTGACCAACGAGTGAACAGGCACCAAGAGGGTAAAATAAACACAGAGACGACACTGCCAGCACCTGGCAGAGCCAGAAGCAGACCCTGGGTCGCTTCACTACTGCTCCTTCTTACTTGGACGGAATGCAGGAATAAAGTCAGAGCAGAGACGTGGAGAACCAGAGGCAGCACACGCACACCCATGCACACTCGTGCAAACATACCGGTGGGCCAGACCCTGCTCCCCGGCCGTCTGTCCTGGCCATCCCACTGTCTACCTCCAGTCCGTCAGCCCCTCAGCCACCGCCCTTTCTGTGGGCACTGCCCACCTACCCCACAGGTGCCCAATTTCCCAACGCTCCAGCCCTATCCCTTTACCTCTGACCTGCACATTTGTCCATCTGCCCTTCCCCACCACGGTCTCTGCCTGGCTTCAGGCCCAGCTCAGTCCCCTGTCCTCCCACTGCTTCTGTCCACTCTACGCTGGGCTGCCCGTCCTGGGCGGTCTACCCGCTGTCCACCCCCCACTGCCACCCCCAGTGCTCACCGAGTTCCTCAAGCTCAGCCGTCATGGACTTGGAGCGCAGTGTCAGTGTGGTGCTGGGAGCCCTCTTGGGGGGCGGCGGGGCTGCAAAGAAGAGGGAGGCCTTGGACCTCCTGTCCAGCAGCAGGCGGCGCGGTGTGGCCAGGTGCAGGTGCCACTTGCGCTCCACCGCCTGGATCTCCTCGTACTCCCGCGAGGACGAGTCGCACTGGGCCAAGATCTTGTTCAGGCTGCGGCTGGACGCAAACTTCTTCATGGCGCTAGGAGCTCAGGGAGTACTGGGGGCCGGGGCGGTCGGGGCCCCAGGGCCCTCAGGACCCCCCAGAGCCAGGGCCTCAGGCAACGGTCAAGGGTGCTGGTGGGGGTCCCGGTGCTGGCTGGCTCTGGCCTGAGTGCCCACCCTGCAGGCTCCAAGGGCCAAGCAAGGGGGCACCAGAGCCATGGGGTGGGGGCTGGGAGGGGTCTCCTGGCAGGCTGGGCTCCTGCTGCTTCAGGGCTCCCCCAGGCCCAGGTGGCCACTGCCCCTTGGGGGGACCAGGGTGTGGTCAGCCAAGCCACAGGCCTAGGCTGGGCCGGCTGGCAAGCCTCCTGGGCCCAGGCTGTGCCGCGTCGTCGGCGCGGGGAGAAGACGCTTTTCCTCTTCCCTCAGGTGCCGCCTCCCCCTTCCCTCCGACAATAAGCAGCACGGCAGCGTCAACCTCACAGTTGCTATGGCAACCCCGGCCTCCAGGCAGCTGCTGGCGGTGTAGGGAAGGAGGGCTCTGCCACGCCAGGGGCTGGGGGAACGCCGGGAAGGAGGGGGCAGGGATCTGAGAAGGGGCGATCTGGGGTCAGGGGTCAGAGGCCTCGGGCCAGGGGGCAGGGGTGCTAGTCTAACATCAGGGATGGAGAAGGACCCCACGTCACACATGAGGGCATTTCATCTAGGTTCAGGAATCTGATGTCAGCAGTCTGGGATCAGAGGTGGGGAGAGAAATGTGGGCCTGAGGTCAAAGGTCTAGGACCAGGGGCCAGAGGGGAGAGTCCGGGCAGAGGCCTGAAGCCTGACCCCTCACCTCTGCGCCGAGCCCCATCCTCTTCCGGCTTCCTTGTCACGGACACAACCTTCATGACAAGGCGGTTGCCACCCTGGCGAATCAGAGCCACCACCTGCTTGTGTCCGACCTTTACCACGTTTACTCCGTTCACCTGGGACAGACAGGCAGCGAGGTGGGGACACTCCCAGGTGCAGCCCCCTCAGCGTGCAGGGGTTAGCACCCTGCGGGCCATGCAGGTCAGGACAGGCCTCACCTCGATGAGGAAGTCTCCCGTGCGCAGCCCAGCCCTCCAGGCCACACCTTCCACGTCCACGGACTCCAGATACTGCAGCGCGGGGAAGGCCGGCGTGGGAGTGAACTCCTCGATGGGGGTCTCCGCTGCAGGGGCAATTAGGAGGTGCTTCACCAGCCTTGTTCAGGAGGGGGCGGCTGCCACACAGCAGCCTCCAAGTGGCTCAGCACGAGAAACCAATGACTACGAGGGGCAGAGTGACCGGGGCTAGGGAAGGGCTGCAGGAGGGGCCACCAGGGCAGCCCAGGACTCCAGGACGTTTCCCTCTGCTGCGGTCCCCAAGCCCTGGGCCACGGACCACTGCCAGTCCGTGGCCTATTAGGAACCAGGCTGCGCAGCAGGAGGTGAGCGGTGGGCAAGCGAGTATTCACGGCCACTCCCCGTCGCTCGCATCACCACCTGATCATCCCGAAACCACCCCCGCTGTGGAAAAACTGACTTCCAGGAAACTGGTCCCTGGTGCCAAAAAGGTTGGGGACCTCTGCAAAACCTCGGACTCACTCCCAGGAGAAAGGCCCCCCACTCTGTCAGACACCCTACAACAGACAGTAGAAAACAACCGAGGGAGAAACTGCTGCCCTGACACTGTCACCACCACGGGAGAGCAGGAAGGGGCCACAAGAAGGGGAGGGGAGAGGCGGATGCCCCGAGCAGCGCCCACCCTGCCCAGCACCCACTGCCCGTTACCTTTGGCTCCGCGGAGCACAAAGCCAAAGCCCTCATGGTCCCGTTTCTGCAGGACAGCCACTTTGTCGTCAATGACATAATCGCTGACAGAGGAAAGCAGGGAGGGGTGAGGCAACCCCACAGGGTCCCACGGACACAGTCCACCCGGCGTCACCCCTGGACTGAGGGGACAGTGAAGGACAGAGGGGGGCAGGGCACCCCCTCTGCGCCCTCCTCTGACCTGTTCGCACCTGGCCTCCTGGTGGACACCCCACCCACACCCCATCTGCATGCCCCAGCCAGTGTCCCTGCGTGTACCTGTGTGACGTGAGGCTGTCATAGGAGCCCACTGTGTAGTGGCGAAACAGCCGCTTCGTCCGGTCCTCCCGGGTCTCTGAAGGGAGCGTCAGGAGCTGAGGGACAGTCTCGGCCTCCAACGGGCCTGAACTGCCCTCAACCGTGCTGGTCACCAGTCTCCGCCCACATACACACCCTGGGCTTGGCTGTGCCCATATGGAAGTAAGGAACCCCAAATCCTGCAGTGCTGGGTCTAGAGATCCCAAGGCAAGAAGGCCGAGGGGCTCATCAGGGAATTCTGGCCTCTGGGGGTCAGGGTCCAAGGTGGGGCAGCAGCCACGGCTCCCCTCTCTCCTGAGGAGCTGCACACAGGGGACCAGACAAGGCCAGGGCTGTCCACAGAGAGGGTCAGCGAGCCCCAAGGCTGGGAGCCAAGAATGGGGTGTGTGTGTGTGTGTGTGTGTGTGTGTGCGCGCGCGCACGCGCGTGCATGACCTGCAGTCCTGTGTGAATGCACCTGCATCTGTGTGTGTGAGCCCGCAGTCGGGTGCACGCGTGAGGTCTGTGTGTGCAGGACCCACACTCACGGACGAGTGCCCTGCTGCGTGCCCACATGCACCGGCAGGGAAGCAGCATCGTGTCTTCACCACATTCCTCACGACAGCCCCAACACTCAGCCTCACGGGGTCCCTTGCTTCAGATCCCGCCTGAATAGGGCAGGCAGTGCAGGTGTCAGGGGCTGGCTGCCCTTCCCTGACCCCACTGTATGCCCCAGAGCTTTGTCTCCACCTGTCCTCTTGATCTCAAAGTCCCTCATGGCCACTGTGGCTCCAGCCAGCTGTCTGCCCGCTGCCCCACCCTGTGGTCTCCAGAAAGTTTGCTCTGCCTTCCAGCCACGACCTCTGCGCCTCAAGGGCTCCTTCAGCCGCCTGCGGGCCCGGCCCTGCCCTCCTGGCGTCCGGGCGCCCTGGCTCCACTCTTCAGAACCCCCAAGTGGCACCACCACTGCCTCGAACTTCGCCCCTCAGCACCTCCCTCATTTCCTCTCACTGTAGAGATTCCTTTTTTCTTCAACAAGTATCTGTTGAGCTCCTACTATGTATCAGGCTCTGTTTGTCTTGGGCTTTGGGAATATAGCAGAGAACAGAACAAAGTCTCCCCCTTGTGGAATTTGTGATCTATTTGGGGGAGAGAGAATAAACAGGCAATAAATATACATGTCAAATGCTGGCAAAAGCTTAAGGGAAAAGCAAACAGAATAAGGGGTTCAGAGAAAGTCTGCAGTTCTAGGGTGGTCACAGGAAGGCCTCACCAGGAAGGCAGAACTGAGCAAAGGCTGAGGACAGAAAGAAGGGAGCAGCCTGCAGGTACGTGGGTAAAGGGCTTCCCAGGAGCGGGCTAGTCGGGGTGAAGCCCATAGCAGGTGTCGGCCTGGAGCATTCGAGGGACCGTGTGGAGCCTGTGCAGCCAGAGCAGCAGGCAGGAGATTAGATCAGACAGGGAAGTTATGGTTTTTTTTCATTGAGACAGGGTCTCACTTTGTCACCCAGGCTGGAGTATAGTGGTGTGACCGTAGCTCACTGCAGCCTCCAACTCCTGGGCTCAAATAATCCTCCTTCCTCAGCCTCCCAAGTAGCTGGCACTAGAGGTTTGCACCACCACACTTGGCTAATTTTTTAAATTTTTTTAGAGACGGGGTCTTGCTATTGCCCAGGCTGGTCTCGAACTCCTGGGCTCAAGCAATCCTCCCACCTTGGCCTCCCAAAGTGCTAGGATTACAAGCATGAGCCACCATGCCCAGCCAGGGAACCTGTGATTTTCAATGACCTGTTTCCCCCACTACCCCTTGAAGGTAAGGACCACATATTATTTATCTCTGTGATCCCAGCATCTGACATATAACAGGCATTCTGTGTGCTGACTGGGAAGGTAATGGGAGGATGGGTGGATCTATGATGGATGGACACAAGGACGGATCAAAAGGTAAATGGATGGGTAGGTGGATGGAGGGAGGGAAGGAGCAACAGAGGGATGTATGGATGGGTCAAAGGGAAGATAAATACATGCACGGACAGGTGAGTGGATGGATGGATGGGCTGGGTAGACAGGTAGCTGGGCAGGTGGTAGGAGGATGGATGAATGGATAGATGGAGGAAGGGAGGGGCTATGCACTGGATTGGCCGGGTATGTCAATGCATGAGTAGCTGGGTGGTGGGATAGGTGGGTGAGTCAAAGGACGGACGGGTATGAGCACAGACAGAGCACTGGCTGGGTGAAAGGAAGAACGAGTCAAATCAGAAGACACAGATGTCAAGAACAGTACTGGACTGGATTCCAGGTCCCTGCCACTAACTTGTGTGACTCGGTAAGTCAACAGTCCCTTTGAGCCTCTTCTTATAGAGTAGGAAAATTCACGTAGAGGGCCCCCTACGTTCCGAGAGCCTAATATTTTATCCTCCTGGCCCCCCAACCACACCTGCACCCACCGTCCTGCCACCCCCACAGCCAGCTCAGGCCGAGCCTCACTGCTGCTCAGGTGAGGCTCACCTTCTGTATGTCAACCCACCCACAGAAATGCTCACAGTGCCTGCCTGCCAAACCCCGAAACTTGCAGTTCACTAGGTGCCTGTTTTTAGATTTTGTTGACCAAATTGTATTTATTGCATAACACAAATTCATTCTCCAGTTGTATTAATCAGAGACACAGAAGCCAGCTGAAGTGGAAACACCCAGCACAACCTCCTGAAGTGACGAACACATGAGAGAGAATGGGAGGGAGGGCAAGAGGGACAGCGGAGGGTCCCAGTCGCACTGGGCCTCAAGGTCCCTGCTCAAACCAGCCTCCAGAACACACCCGACTCTGCCACCCCATCCTGCCCTCACAATCCACCCTCTGCCTGCCACGCTCCTTCCACTCCCGCTCCGCAGGCGCCGTGGGAGGCCTGCTCTCTGCTCGGTGACCCTGGGCGCAGCCCGGCCTGCACGCGTCGGCACCACGAACACCGCTTGGCCTCTGAGTCCTTCTCCATCTCCACGCCAGTCCCAGACACAGATTTTTTTTTCTTTCTTTTTTTTGGATCTGAGCCTGTTGGAAGCAGGTTCTTGTTCCTGGGCTGCCCTCTGGCCTCTGGCAGAACTTGGTCCCTGGGTCCCAGAACACAGGTGCCACCCAGAGCAGCCAGCCGGGCCTGCAGCTGCGGTCAGGGGGAGGCTGCTACTGCTCCCGCCCCGCTGCAGGCAGCCTCCGCAGGCCCCACTCCCTCTGCCCACCCAGTGGAACACTCCAGGCCACACACCCGACAGCTGCTGCCCCATCTAGGAGCCCAGCCCTCACCCACACTGCCGCTCTGTGACCCTGGCCTCCCCGCCCACCCTCCTCCCCATCTGCTCTGCCCTGCATGGGCCTCGACCCCAACCCTAAAGAACCTGCACAAGCAGACAGCTGCTGCCGTTCTCCTCCCACCACAAAGCCATGCTGGCTCTATCCCTATGCCAGCCCTGCCAGCCCTCACCCGACACATCTGTTCCATTCACACAGAGCTGCCTGCCTGTCCCTAAGGGCCATGTGACCCCTAGAAATGGACTAACAACCGGCCCCACCTCCCAGAACTGCTGGAAAGAGTCAACGACTTCCTCCATGTGAAAGTGCCTGGCGCCCCAGTGCTGCTCAGCAAGGGAGGTGCTGACACGAAGCTCTAGAACACTGTGCCAGGCCCTGCACACACGGGCTCCCCCTCACCCCGTCTGCTGACCATCTACAGAACCCGGAGAACAATGCCTCTGCTTTGAAGCCCTCTCTGACTCCTTCAGGCCAACCCAGGGAGACCCTGTGCTCACACTAATGTTTCTGTTGTAACCTGGGCACACCTGGTCCCCTCTAGGCATGAGTCAGACCTCTGTAATCCCAGCTCCCAGCACAGGGTCCAGCATACAGCAAACACCTAACGAACGTCTGCTACGCTCCAGTTCTGACTCTAGTCTAAACCTCCTTTTCTCCCCCTCAGCTTTTGTCTTAGGTCCTAACACCCCGAGATCCACAGTACTCAAACCAGAACCTTCATGACCCATCACATGGGAGGGCTCAGGGCCAGCTCCTACAACAGGTGGGAACATCCCCCCACACACTGCTCCCCCTCCCATCCTGTCGGAACCAGGGCTCAAACCTCTGAAATCATTTCCCACCTGGACCCTGCCCCATCCCTCCACAGGCAGAGAACAAGGAGGCCTAGTCCCTTCCACGATCCAAGCCATCAGGAGAGCCGTCAGGGCGGGCTGGGGAACAGCCAAGGGAAGGAGCAAAGGCACCTGTCCAGGAGTGGGCCAGTGTCCACGCTCCTGCCTCCCTGGGCCTCCACTGAGCTCGGCACAGGGTAGGGGTCCAGGCCACAGGGGTGGGCTCCCCTAGGAAACTCTCAACCCAGGGAGACACAACAACTCTGGGCCCAAGTCCCTCATGTACACAGGTGGGTATGCATGCCTCGATCCGGACACACCACCGACGGCCAGCAGTGACCTCACTCAGGAGAGGTTTCCTTGTCCCACCAGCTCTCCAGGCCTGAAGCAACATTCATGGGTCTGGGAGCCTCCCAAGGACCAGCCACTGCTTTTCACCAGCAGGACCCCTCAGATCCTGATAAGCAGAAGGGTCCTTGGTGGAAGCCCAAGTGGTCAGCAGGGTTGGACTGTGGCTACTCACCAACCCCAGGAGCTGCAGCCTTCACCCTCACGTTCTTCCTGCAGGCTGAGGATGGGGCCCGTCCCTCACCTGCTGCCCTCAGACCTTCCCTGCCCTGCACAGTACCCAGGAGAGCCCCTCCAGGCCCAACTGGCCTCATTTCCTCTTGGCTGGTCCAGGCCTCCCTGCTCTGCCCACTTGGACAATCTGTCCACTTTGGAAAAACGCCTCTTTTCTCACGCTGACCTCCTTACTTGTCTGCCAGCCACACAGGAATCGCGCTCCGTGCACCTGGTGCTTCTGTGAGCACCGTGCCGGAGGGGCGGTTACAGTCCCTGGGAGTCACGTGTGGGCCCACACAGACAGAGGCACGGTCACGGGCGTGCACCTCCTCTGGGGACATCACATGTGTCTCCACTGCACATCAAGGGTCTGGGTACACGTACCCACGTTCGGAAGTACGTGAAGGGTGTGTGCACTGTGTCTGTGTTGTGTACACAAGTTTCTGTGTACTTTGAGTGTATGTTTGAGTCTACTTCTAGTCTTTTCTCTGTGAACAAACATGTGGATTTAGCGCCGAGAGAGACCAAGAGGAAGCTGGAAGGGGTGGTGCACCCTCGGGAGCTGCCAGGGGGACGCGGGTCACTCACCATGCCGGGTGTCATACTGTCTCATCTGAACCTCCTCCACGCAGTCTGCCGGGAACCAGCCTGTGCGGCCTTTCACGGTTCCCTCCCAGAAACCGCCCTCCCCAACGCTGAGCACTGGGGGGACAGAAGCCAGACGGGCTGTCAGTGGGGAGCAGAGCAGCTGGGCACCCACCCCCACCCACCTCAGGCCCAGGTCCTGCCCACCCCTCGCCCTTTCTCTCCTTCCCTTCCCACATCCTCCCAGTTTTTCCTGGGGAAGACTCTGGGGTGCACACGGAGGAGAGAAAGGAACAGATGGGCTCAGCACAGGATGGGCACGTGGAGGACAGGGAGCCACGCCACGCAGATGGACACACTCGGGCAGGGGCCACACTCCTGCTCCTGCCCCGCAGCTGGCCACTCCCCCCAACCCACCCCCACCCTGGCCCTGTCACCCACCCAGGGGTCACTGCCAAGACCTCCGGGTCTTCGTGTCGTGGCCAGGGGATTAGGCCACAGACGTAGCAGGAGGGCCGATCCTCGCAACTCCGCTTCTACCTCAGGCTCCCACGGACACAGCCACCCCCAGGGACAGGACCCCCGTGATGACAGAGACCCCATCATGAGAGCAGCGTGCTATGGCCCAGGATCCCCACAGAACCCAGGAAGCCCCAGTGACAGAAACCTGCATCATACACAAACGCCCACATAATTGCCACAGATACCCCACACTGGCTGGGGTCCCCCACACAAGGGTTTCCGATGAAGAAGTCCAGCGGTGACAGGAACCCCATAACGCAAGGAAGCTCTGTGATGGGGCAGGGTCCTTCAGAGAACCCCCAGTGGCATCAGCCCCCACCATGACACAGAAACACCCCCGTGACAGGAGGAGCCTCTATCGTGACACAGGGAGTCCATAACAACGGAGCATC